CAGGGTGCCAATGCCTGAGATGATGGGGCGCCCAGGATTTCCAGGTTTATGGATCTTGGGTAGTAGATAGAATATCCCAGGTCGGGGTTCCAGGGGTGTGTCTGTGCGGATTTGATCTTGTGCTTTTTCAGGGAGTTTCTTGAGCAAATGGTGTAGTTTCTTTTGGTAACTCTCAGTGGGATCAGAGGGTAATGGCTTGTAGAAAGTGGTGTTGGAGAGCTGCCAAGCAGCCTCTTGTTCATATTCTGACCTATTCATGATGACAACAGCACCTCCTTTGTCAGCCTTTTTGATTATGATGTCAGAGTTGTTTCTGAGTCTGTGGATGGCATTGTGTTCTGCACGGCTGAGGTTGTGGGGCAAGTGATGTTGCTTTTCCACAATTTCAGCCCGTGCACGTCAGCGGAAGCACTCTATGTAGAAGTCCAGTCTGCTGTCTCGACCTTCAGGAGGAGTCCACCTAGAATCCTTCTTTTTGTAGTGTTGGTAGGGAGGTCTCTGTGGGTTAGTATGTTGTTCAGAGGTGTGTTGGAAATATTCCTTGAGTCGGAGATGTCGAAAATAGGATTCTAGGTCACCACAGAATTGTATCATGTTCGTGGGGGTGGAGGGGCAGAAGGAGAGGCCCCGAGATAGGACAGCTGCTTCTGCTGGGCTAAGAGTATAGTTGGACAGGTTAACAATATTGCTGGGTGGGTTGAGGGAACCATTGCTGTGGCCCCTTGTGGCATTTTCCCTTGTTTTTTCCTACCCCCCCCCCCCCAGACGTTCTTGTTAAACCCTGGATTTGTGCTGGAAATGGCCCACCTTGATTATCATACACATTATAAGGAGAGTGATCACTTTAGATAAGCTATTACCAGCAGGAGAGTGGGGTGGGGGGAGAGAAAACCTTTTGTAGTGGTAAACACCCATTTTTTCATGCTTTGTGTGTATAAAAAGATCTTCTATACTTTCCACAGTATGCATCCGTTGAAGTGAGCTGTAGCTCATGAAAGCTTATGCTCACTTTATATTATTATTTTTGGTTACAAATATTTGCACTGTAAAAAAGATAAACAAAACAAATAGTATTTTTCAATTCACCTCATACAAGTACTGTAGTGTATCCTCTTTACTGTGAAAGTACAATTTACAAATGTAGAATTATTATTTTTACATAACTGCACTCAAAACCAAAATAATGTCAAACTTTAGAGCCTACAAGACTGAGTGGTCTTACTACTTCTCCTTCCTACTTCTTATTCAGCCAATCTCTAAGACAAATAAGTTTGTTTACATTTACGGGAGATAATGCTGCCAGCTTCTTATTATAATGTCACCAGAAAGTGAGAGCGGGCGTTCGCCTGGCACTGTTGTAGCTGGCGTCGCAAGGTATTTACGTGCCAAATATGTTAAACATTCGTATGCCCCGTCATACTTCGACTGGTAGATTGCACTTTTGTTTATGTTCTTTACAGTGCAAATATTTGTAATCAATAATAATAATATAAAGTGAGCACTGTACACTTTGTATTCTGCATTGTAATTGAAATCAATATATTTGAAAATGTACCAAAACATCCAAAAAGTTTTATAATACATTTAAATTGGTATTCTATTATTTTTATCAGTGCGATTAAAATTGTGATTAATCATGATTAATTTTTTAAATAGTTTGACAGCCCTAATAAGGGCCTGTTAGGGATGAGATAAATCCCCTGTTCCTGCAACTGGATCCATGTGGGTGCAACTTTGCACCTGTGTGGAGTCCCAGGATGAGATGTTCCACTGGTGTAAACTGGCATAGCACTGCTGAGGTCAATGCAGTTACACCAGCTTACACTGGTTAAGAATCAGGCTCCCAGAGTTTGGCTATTTAAGGGACTTATATGGCCACCGTTACTGTAATATCTGAACACCTCACAATCTCTAATGTATTTATCGTCACACCACCTCTGTGAGGTGCTACAGGGAGGCCAAGAGTCAGGTTGACAAAGGTAGTTAGGTGCCTAAAGATGAACTTAGGGTCTTAGTGGGATTTCAGAAGTACCTAAGCAGGTCAGCTCCCCAACGCTCATTGAAATCCCTGGAATTTAATTCACGTAGGCACTTCTGAAATCCCACTTGGCACCATCTACATCAAACTGTTGCTCCAATTATCTTGCATAAAGTCATTCAAGATGTCCACAGTGGAACAAGGAATTGAACATGAGGTCTCCTGGGACCCAGGCTAGAACCCAAACCACTAGCCTGTCCTGCAGCTCTACTTGGATCTAATCTATCTATGTGGAGCTGATTGAAGAATTGAGGCCTTAGACTGTATGAGTCCTGCCCACTTCGTATTTTAGCCCAGAATCATAATGAAAAGAACATTAGGAAATAAAACAACTGTAGAGTCTTAACATCCTGGAGTCAGAGTCTGAGTCTCTTCTCTGGAAACCATTGTCAATTTTCCTGCCAATGCCAGCTAGAGGTACAGGAGGTGCCAGAATAACTTCTGAATAAAAGGGAGATGTGAGGCAATTTACTCCGCTTTATGGAATATTTTATACTACTGTACATCATATAAGTTAAAAACCTTGAAACCACAGATATCTACTTTCATTATTATTACAGCATTAATAAACACTGCAAACAAGTCTTAATAAAGACAGAAAAGCAGAAAGGATCATTTTAATTTGCATCCAAACAAATATCCCACTGGAAAAAAGGCAAAAAAGAAAAGTGGAGGAATCAAGTGCTAGAAAAGTGATGCCATGTGCTCAAGAAAATAACTCTGCAGCCAAGGGAAAACTGTGAAGCTGTGTTATGTTGAGCTATGTGCAGTGCAGCCGTAGCTGTATCGGTCCCAGGATCTCAGAGAGACTAGGTGGGTGAGGGAATATCTTTTATTGGACCAACTTCTGTTGGTGAGAGAGACACGCTTTCGAGTTTACACAGAGCTCTTCCTCCGGTCTGGGAAAGGAACTCCCAGAGTCACAGCAACATTCAAAGTGGAACAGATTGTTTAGCATAAGTAGTTAGCACATATTCTGAGGGACCATTCAAGGTACAGCGTTGAGCTGTAATTCTGCAGTTGGTTTCCTTGGAACATAAAAAATACATATAGGGGAAACTGATGGCAGGAGATTTCTCCCTAAGATTTTATTTCTTTGCTGAAAGTACACATTTTAGTTTTGGATGCATCATTTAGTTTACACTGGCTCCTGCACCAATTATGAAACATAGGATGTTTGCCTTTTGGCGTTTGAATAGAAATATCATACCATATATATATATATATATACTCTGTGCCAAAAGGTGAACTAGTGTCATATTTTGCAGCATTTCAGCCATTTGAGGAAACGCTTTGTATTCTCCAATATGAATTACAATAGGGCAGTAATATATAGGCTGAATAATTCTGTCTTGTTTCAACAGCTGCTAAAGCACAGGAATATAGCATGAAACATTGTTAGCAGCTACTTAAAGATTTTTTTTTAAAGGTCTGCACACTTGTGCTTACTTATGATTCATGAAGGAGGCAGAAAAGATTCCCTCCATATATAGACATATCAGAAATTCAGATCTTTTCTACCCTGGGTGACTGGAGAACGGTAGGTTTATAACATCAGAGATACCATGCAAATGATATCTGATTAGTTGACAAGGGAATTGATTATTTATTCTGTTTAAAGCCCTCCTTTTTGGTTTGCTTTTTCTTAAGCTCAAACTTTTCAGAAATGGCTGGAAGAAAAACTATCTGAATGTTAAAATTTCAACACCACTGACTAGAGCTGGTAAGGAAAAGTATTTCATTTCCCATTACTTTTTTGTTAATGAAAATGTTTCATTTGCTGGATTTTTTTAATTTTTGCAAAATATGTTTAAGTTTTAATCAAAACCCCAGGCACCTGAAAACTGATTTTATTTTTGTTTAAAAAAAACCCATTTCTTTGTTTTCAGAAGTTTGATTTTCAATGAAAACCTGACAATTTTTGTCAAAAATGAAAAATTTCTGTCTCACCATGAAACACTTTTTTATCAAAAATCAAAACATTTTGGGGAAATATTGTCAACCAGCGCTATCCCTATCTCTCCATTTAAGAAATGAGGCATCTCATGATTGATCACTGACATCAGCCAGGCATCCTTTCAGTAAAATGAGGGAAAACGAGACTTGATGTTCCTGACATTTCTAAGCTAAAAAAACAGGCAAAAAGAAAAAAAAAGTTGTGTGTCTTTAAATGTACCTTTTAGGTCTTCTCTCAGTGTAATAAAGGAACAGAAATACAAAGCCCTGCACAAACCTATTTTCCCTATTGTATGCCATCTGCAAAGCACTGAATGTACAATTTGGCTCTTAGAAATTTGAAGGAATGTAAGTATGAAAATATATGAATACAAAGAGTTTCTTCAGATGTCTGAAGTGCTGCAATATACGGAAATATTTTTTAGTTTTATTGGCTACAAAAAGAAAATAAGGCTATTTTTTTCATGGACAGCAGGGAGCGTTGGATTCAGAAGGGATGCAAAATTAGGGCCACCCTAAAAACATACTGCACAAGTTTCCAAAGCTATCACATTTCCATACTCTAAGGATTTAAGTTCAATATAGTCTTTGTAACAACGCACAAACTAAATAATCACACAGCATTGCCCCCAACCAGCAATGCTAAATGATCTTTGAACGGAACCAGTCCATTAATCCAAAGCAGAGTTTTCTGTTAAAAGCATTTTTTAAAAATGGGGCGTAGCCAAAACAAAATGGATTTTTGAAATGTTAACACACTTTTTTATATAAAGAGCATTCACACAGAAACACACGCACACACACGTCTCTCTATACTATACAGTCCCACTTGTGAAAAACTATGGTGAACAATTCAATTTCAAACTACAGAAAAACAGCACAAAAGGTTAATTTACTGCTTTATTCAGTTAAAGAAAGAAGAAATGAATGATTACTAATTTAATCTTCTTTTGGGAGCTACCTTGAAATAGAACCATTTAAATATAATCACAGACAGAACTCAAAATACTTGCACAAAGACATTTTATTATAAATGTACTGTAAGTAATGTATTTTTTTTTTAAAAATGGAGGCACTTAAAACAATCAGAGGCATGTCAAAGTTGAATGACAGTGCTAGTTTCCAAAATGTTAGTTTGCAGGGCATGATAGAGGCTGAACTCCCTTCAGCTCCAAGGCTTTGCTGAAGCTAATCTCCTGAGATTTAGCAGTGCCTTTGGTGAGCTTCAGCAAGCGAATGCATCCTTTAAAACGGATATTTGTGGTCAGGCCAAACTGGTTCAGACCATCTGAAAAAACAAAACAAAACAAAAACTAATGTTGTTACCTCATTTTTCTTCTTCAAATCTCTTCTCCCACTTGCATTCCCAAATATATATTCTTCACAATTTACTTGCTGCACTCCGTTCTGTAGCAGGAGAGTGGTTAAACCTCTAAGTACATTTGATAAATGCTCGATTTGGTGGCAACTATCTAATCGGTCTCTTTCTTCATCCACAATGTGCCAGTGGCAAAATCAGAATGCATTTAAATCTTCCATTTAAATCACACAACTCAGTTCAGGTGATGTTCATGACATTAAATAAAACAGCCTTCAAACTTCCTGAGAGGTCCAAATGGCATTTTTTTTCTACAGTAATAACAAATGGTATGCAGCAGGCAAATAATGGTTCTGTGTATCTGCAACTTGTAGTCTGTTTACATGTGGTAGAAAGGGTTTATCAGCATGAGCCTGGGATGGGTGCATTTACTCACAAGTAGCAAAGTTGTCGGGGCGACTTCTGCATCCCCAAAAGGCACATACTGTATATTCTGTATGTGCTGCAGGTATCACAGAGAGGCTACCCTAGCAACGTTATGGAGAGACTATTTTGGGATTATATTTTGTATCTTTGTGTCTGTAAAGGCAAGGGCTTTAGCTACTCTGAGTCCAACGACACTGGGCTCGAATAGAGCCATAAAAACACTGAAAATGACCCCTAATAGCTTTTACATGCCTAAAAATGTCACAACTATAAAGTCTGCCATCTTGGGAGCCCAGAAGGCTAGAAGTGAGTGCTAATCCCATTGGGAAGCTGAGACTCTCCCCTTCACAATTGTTGGAAGTTCCCAGCCCTGCTTCTCATCTGTCTTCTGAGTGAAGCAGCGGCCACAGGGAGCCAGTTGGGCTGCCTAGCCTTAGTGCAAGACAGGGCTTCACAGGGGCCTTACAACATCAGTGGAGGATTGGGCGCAGCTGAGCTCTGTTTCACTACAAGCCCTCCCCTACCCCCAAACTCTGACCCCTCCTTCTTCTTACACGGGGGATGTGTGTGCGTGTGTGTGGGGCGCGGCAGGGCAGGGAGGGAGACAGTTGTTGGTGCAGGAGGCAATGAGAGTTGACCTCAACAACTTTCCACTGGTGGAAAATTCCCCTGCCCAAGGGAATTCTCCACTAGCCAATTTCAGATGATTTAATGAAGCATAAAGCAACCTCAGTGGACTGTTGAATCTGGATCCCATGACAATGGACGTTAAATTTGTGACATATGTACGCACTGAAAAGCTGCCAATGGTCTTGGACTGAATCTTGTCTGTTCTGTGCCTCAGGTGAGGATAAATTGGGACAATTTCCACATTTGGAGGAAGACAAAACATTTCTCTGGCAGGCTGAACAAAAAGAGGCAGGTGTGCGAGACAGTTGAGGTGTTTGGAATGTTAGAATAAACCCCGGGGGAAATGGATTCATCAACAGAAGGAGGAGAGATGGTCAAAGGTGCATGATACATTATTTATCGCATGGATCCACAATTTAGTATGCAGCTTTAACTCAGTTCATGGGTATCATTCCAACGCAAGTGGTGTGGATTTATTTTATACAGACTGCTGTGTTACACCTGATTGCACTTCTTTTGCCTAAATGCAGCTCATAACTCATTATGCATGTCCCTGGAAACTTTCCTTTAGTGCCAGTTCTTAAATTAGAGTCTAAGGATTGCTGTAAAAACAGCCTCTGATGGCCAGAAGCTGGGAATGGGTGACAGGGGATGGATGACTTGACAATTACCTGTTCTGTTCATTCCCTCTGAGGCACCTGGCACTGGCCACTATCAGAAGACAGGATACTGGGCTAAGTGGACCTTTGATCTGACCCAGTATGGCTGTTCTTATGTAAAAATACCACAACACCGGGAACACCTTTATGGCACAACATTCATTCCAAATTAGGCCAGCGTGGCAGAGCCTGGCTTTCTCTTACATATCAAACAATACAGGAAAAACATCAGAAAACATTTGGAGGGACTGAAAGCTAAGTGTTACTGGATACATTGTATTGCATCAATTAGAATGGAGAAAAAATGCAAAGAAAATAATTCAGAGCTCAGTGCAATGCTCCCGGACATCAATGAGAGGCCTTCTATTGACTTCAATGGACACTGCAATAGGCACCCTTAGCTGATGTTTAGCTTCTCTCTGTTCACAAGCTAGTATAAAACAGCACTAGGAGTGCTACAAAATTAGTAAAAAAAACCCAATACTATGAGCATTTTACAAATTTCAGACATTTGATTTTCAAGATTAAATTATTCCTCAAATAATTCTTGGTCTATTTGTTTGTTTGTGAACAGTTAGTTGTGAATATTCACTATCAGTAGAGTAAGTATGAAGGCCTCTTGTAGCGTTTACCTCATCTCTGGATCCTTTCACCCATGCTAGAAATAACTTTGCTGGGGCTCATTAAAATACCTCTGAAGAGTAATGTTTGTTTTGCCTTTAAAAATAAACCAGATTGCACCAAATGGGAAATATTTGCAAAACAGTCCTGAGGGAGGACAGCTCGTTCCCCACATCCCCTAAATCAACGTTCACAGGCTGAGCTCTGTGCTATATGATTAATACACTCAGCCTACCTTTTTTTCCATGTAAACATTTTTGGCAGTTCAGGTTTGTCAAATGCTGTTGCTGTTGCCCTGGCTATGAAAAAGTGTTTTTGTTGAAATGTGAAAAGAAAGGCGGAGAGTCTTTTTGCTCCTCTCTGCAAATGCACACACTCCCTCGGCTAGAGGGTTTATGATAGGTTCAAGGGAAAAAGAACTAGAGGCTTTCTTAGCTGAAATATTGGCAGTGCATGACTGAAATTCAGTGCTGCAGAGCTCCTGTTATTCAAAGGCACAAAAATGAAATCTAGATCACTGTACTGTAGAGAAGTTTGGATATTCACAACCATACTATCGCCATTGATATTAGTGTGTGAAACTGAACTATATTTAAGACATTGGCAACGCATCATTACTAGAGAGTGTGACTAATACCCTGTTTGTGTGTTGGACACTCACCAGGATATCCTCCAACAAAGACAGGATCATTAGTGTCCGCAGAACTGGAGACTCCATTTGGGCTGCTCCCATGCACCTGATTCCCATCCACAGTCAATTCTAAGCGGTGCTTGATCTTGTTTGCAGTAACCTTGTGCCACTGTCCATCACACAAGCTGCCTGGTTTGTCAGGCTCGTAGATGGCAGAGAATCTGCCTGCACCATTATCCACATGGAACATCAGCTAGAGAATGTATCATGAAAGAGCAGGGAAAAGGACTAGTTATCAAAATAATAATTATCCAGAACATGGTGCTCTAGTTTTCATCAAATCTGTTCTTCCCAAAAGCTACATATAGATTTAGAATAAATGTAGAGTTAAACATGAAGTGTCTTCTTATTACATTTCTAAATCAACACAAGACAGCTTAGCTCCATTGTGTTTATTTCCATCACCAGAATTTAATAACTATGACTCTGATCCTGCACCCAGTTCTGTGTGGGTGGATCCTTGCACCCATAAAGAATCCCACAAAAGTCAACAGAGCTCACTTGTGTAGATCCATGTGTAGCACTGGGGCCTAGGTTAGCAGGAATGTGCAAAGCTGTGGGCATGGTTTGCCACATTTCTGTTGTGAAACTGTATAAGGACAAAAAAAAGTAGGTTTTGTGTGGGTCTTATACAAAACAGAGCTATTTACTTTTATGTGCAGCTGAGTGGTTGATTAAACTATGCACCAAAATTGAGTTACACACACAAGGGACTGATATTCATGACATGACAGACACAGTGCCCCCAACTTTGCACACTCCTGCTAACATAGGCCCAATGCTGTAACGCAGGAAACACAGCAGTGTTGCAGAATAACATGTTAGGATGTTTTAGCAAAACTAGACGTGTCAGACAAATTTGGAAGGGGAAAGACTGACTGGCATATAGGGGGCTGTGATCTTGACTGAGATGACTTGACATTAAATCAGAGTTTAAACTTGTTCATACAGTTTAAAACACACAAATGCACTACAGATATCCAGAAATGTATCTGATGATGCCCTCACTGCAAAATGCCTTCACTCACTTTTTCATCTACCAGCTCGATGCCGAGTCCATCCATTTTTTGGCTGCTGATTCCCAGCAGAACACCATCCATTCGAGTAGTACGGAATTCAAACTCCACTAGTAGGTCTGTTCCCACTTTATATGTTCCAACTGGGGAGTGGAAAACATACAGTGATACATTTAGAAAAAGAGCTACAGTATTATTTAGTCCAACTGAAATCGAGTGTAAAATAGTAGCTCATGGTACCAGTTCATAATATGAGATCTTGCTAAAAATACACAAGATCAAACACCAGGCATAACGTTTAAACATGCTGAATGGGATTCTGAAAAGTGCTCAGAGTCAGAGCTGGCCTAACTCTGCTTCCACGGAAGTCGATGGGGCTTAGGCAATGCTGATTGCCTTTGAAAATCCCACTTGCTATAATGGTCTTTTAGCACTAGTAAAATTGTAGTTTATTACCTGTTTTGGCAAAGCCTGTTCCATCAAAGAATGTTCCTTTCTCTGCATTGGTAAAGCATTTGCCAACATTGAAGCTGGAGGTTGGATTATCCAGGTCAACAGAAGTCTCTGTCATCTTAAAATTTCTGATGCAACCATCAATGCTGTAAGTAACCTTGGTGCAATGTTCAAACAGAGAATGTTGTAATGAAAAACAAGCAGAAATGCTGGTATGGAAAGGCTCAATTATGGCATCAGAAAGTATCCCTTCTTTTGATTCTGTGTTTTGCTGCTGGATGTGTGGAGCTGAATGAGTCTTGAACTTTACATGGCTAATCCACAATATCTGATTAAAATAAGAATCTAATCTCTATCACACTACCGACTAATTAGGTTGCTTTTCTGAAATTCTAGGGATCAGATCTCACAAAATGGAGTTATATCTCTTTGGCTTAATGGAAGGGGCATAAAATAATGCACTGCATAATGAAACATAGAAAATTGCACAGGTAATGCAGAAATGTAATGGCCCATACTTTACTTCTGTAATTGAATAGAGTCCGTACTTTCTAGTTAAGCCAGTGGACAAAGGCATGGAGATAACTTGTAACATTACTACATTTTTTGTTTATCATTCCATTGAGTGGCTAATCTTACATATTAAAGCTGTGCTTATATTGGGCCACATCCTTCTAAATGTGGTACTCCTGCTTAATGGAATGGAAGTTTTACATAAATACTTATGGCATCATATGGCCCTCCATATAAACTTATCTATTACAATTGTATGATTGTAGCTAAGATATTATTTGCAGGCTTTTCTTGCATCTTTATCAGTGTTTTACAATTTAACAAGGCTTCACTATGAGAGCTAGGTATTATTATTATATTATTATTATTACTAGTATGCTGCTCGTTGGATGACCTATAAAGGAAGAAGCAGCAGGGATTGCACTGAGTCTGTGTAGCTGGTGTGACGTATTAGCACTTTTTCCCCCTCCCATCTCAGATAATGTCTCTTTCCTTTGATGCTGGATGCTGTGCAGAGCAGCATTTCCTCTCTCTTCCCTGAAGGAGGCCTGGGAGTCCGCCCACCTACTGGACAACTGGTGCTGGCAGAGGTTGGGGAGAGGAAGCTCAGGAGCATGGAGGGCCTACACTACAGGCTCTAAAGAAAGCCCTTGGCCCAGTGGTGCTGGAACGGGGGGTGCTGCCACACCCCTTGAAGTAGTAATAACAAACACCAAATACATGGTTTCTATCATCAGCACCCCCACTATAAAAATTGTTCCAGCCCTGCCTTGGCTGATGCTGGAGTGTGATAATATTGGGAAAATGAATGGTAAATGTCAAACACACACTTCAAAAGACAAAAGTGCGCACACACGCATACATTTGGTGTGAGGGGGAAGGAGAGAATGAGAAAAAACACAAACACACAGAGATTGTGGGGAAAGGAGAAGGAGGCAGACATTGAGGAGGGAAGAGAGGTACACACACACATTGGGAGAAATCTTGCTCTCAGTAACACCCATGTAAGTCTCTTAAGACCACTGATTTCAATGGAATTTCTAAAACCTTTCCAGTTTTATTTGTATTTTCTTTGCACAATCTTTTATATAAGAAATCCTTATTCACTGGGGAATTGTAAGGGTCCAGGACTGTAAAGCTTTTCCCTCTCCCCACAGTAATGACTATGGGCCAGTTTCAATTCTTTGTACTGACTGTATTCTAACCCAGGTCCTTCCAACTACTTAAAGAAGAATTGGATAGGCCCTTTTATCCATTTGCCTTTATATTTTGGAAGAGAAATGTAAATGGTGATACCGGCCAACACATATTTAAAGACTGTGAAATAGCTTATTAAACTTTCTTCCTTACTGGACCGATTCTTCGAGTTGTATAGTTAATGGGCAATCCTCCGACATACAGCATCCCCACAACATCCAAAATATCGGCCTTCTTGGGGCTGGTGGTCCTGTTTGCAACACCATCTACTAAAAGGATTCCTTCTTGCTTGGTTCGAAATATTTTTACCTAGAAATAAGACATAAATATAGCACATTAGTGAGAGGTTTCTGGTACCAGACAACCCTGGAGCAAAGGATGCTTTTCAAAGTGCAACTTCAGATTTCCACCTTAAGTCAAATAAAACTTCCTCTATGTAAATAATAAGGCAGACAATATTATTCCTACTTATTATTTGTATTGCTGTAGTGCCTAGAACACCACACCCATGGACCAGAACACCACAGTTCTATGTGTTGCACAACCACAGAACTAAATTTTTAATTCAAATATGCCAGGAAGCATCATGAGTTTTAGTACTAGAATTACTAAAAGCACAGGGGATGCCATTTGAAAACTCAGTGTTTGCCTCACTAAAGTGATAGCAGTTCTGCTCCATCTCTTCTTCTATCTATAGAAAGATCCCATGCTAACTGCAAGCATTTGGGATGGTAAATGTTGACTTTTTAATGGCATCCACTGTAAAGGTTTATTACAGCACATATTTAAGAACTATATCCCATGACTGAGTTTCTTGTTCCTTTAGCTTATACTTGCTACAGATCATAGTTCAGGATGGAGTACATGTAACACACACGGGCTTAATAAGATTCCTATTCAGACAAATAGGACGTGTCTCATATGGAGGAACAACAATTGCTGAGGAGTTGTTCAAGCTTTGCCCATAACTACTGCTAAACCACTCTCTCCAAAGAGATATATTAGAGTCCCCAGTGACTTCTGCAGCAGTGATTCTGTGTATTAAGAGGACTAAATGTCTTGTACAGTATACGTGCTAGCTAAACTAAGGTAACATTTTTAAAGCGCCCTGGTGATGATAATGATGCTAGTGACCCTCGATTTCAAGGACAACGTTGACAATCATAGTTTGTACTAATGGGCCTTCACGTGACTCCATAGACCAATTTGGGAAGAACATTTACCACACTGGGCACAGAGCCATTTGCCTAGTTGTGGTGATTGAGTTGCACTTTGTTTGTGTGCTTCAAGCTGCTCAACTTGATTCTTCTCAAAGTCCTGGATGCCCACCCTTACCGTGCGGTGCCATGCAATACTATCAACTACCAGTTGCTCAAAGGTCAAGTCAGAATTTTTTTTTCCTCACATGTTGTTTCAGGGTGTCTTTGAAGTAATTCATCTGCTGTCCATGTTTACAATTGCTGGAGCTTAATTCGGAATATGACGGGTTTAGATAAACGGGTCTCAGGCATACAAATTACATGGGCAGTCTACCTCATTTGGGTGCAGATCGAATGAGTCTTGAAGCTGACTGAACCAGATGTCAGGATCCCAACAAGGGCAGTGAGGACCAAGGGTCAGAGAAGGGGCAAATCTGACGCTGGGAACAATGGAGGAATTCGGAGTCAAGTTCCAGGCCAGGTCAAGTTCAAAGGTCAGAGTCTGAATCAGGTTTCAGGGGCTAAGTCAGGAGATGAAGTCCAAGTCAAGCCAAAGTCAAAGCCAGGAGTTCAGGATCAAGGAGCAGAAATGGTTGTGGCAGCTACAGAAGATCTGGGCTGTTGCCTAGACTCTTCCTGGAACATCTCTTAGGTCTGTATAGAATGGAGAGCCAATTAGGAGCCATGAGGCTGCTGCCTATCAGACCCCTTGATGCAGGACTTGTCCACAGCATGTCATGGGGTCATGGAGCTCAAGTAGGTTACATCTGTTACTGGGTGGCAACATGGCAATGTCCCCAGCCTGGCAGGCCTGGGTTCTACACACAGGAGATCTAACACCAGCTTTTTCCAGGACTTCCATGTTGAAAACATGGTCCTGCCCTTTGATGTCAAGCAATTGTCATATGTGTTGCAAGTGGAAACTGTGAAGTTTTTTATTATGCTCTTGATAACAGGTCTATGGTTTGGACCCATAGAGCAATGTCATGAGGCAACAGCATTATAGGCTTTGACTTTTGTTTGTAGACAGATTCCACATTGCTTCCAGATTTGGTGATGGAGACAACCATATGCAGCGCTGGCTTACTTGATTCACACATCCACTTTGTGGTTGATTGTCGCTTTGTTGTTCAACGTGCTACTACTTTAAATAACCTGTTTGAGAGCTTGGTGTCTGGTGACTATTGATGGGTCTTGGTAACGTTGTTGAGGAGATGATTGGTACATTCATTTTTATTTGGCTGATGGTGAGGTCAAAGTTACAAGCTGCTGTAGCAAAGCAATTTGTAAGATCTTGTAGAGCTGCTTCAGAGTGCGTCTGCTGGGCAAAATCATGTGGTGCATTGGTACAATTTAGTAGTTAGCCTATTAAAATATTAAAAAGTGTTTCCTTGGTTCCTTTAACATTCCCTCTCCTTGTTCAGTTAAGGAGCACATCAGTCACAGAGGATTCTGTGGCACATCTACAGTAGGAAGTACTGAAAACTGACAGGAGAGTGGCTGGGAAGAAAGGAACTGAAAATTGGTGGTAGTGCTCTTTGGGGTGAATTTGGGATACAGCTCTAAACTGGGTGGGAGTGTGATCTGGCCGGTAGCAAAGGAATTGGGTACGGAGTAGCTGAAGTACCCAGAAATATTATTACAGGGAGCCTGAAAAAGCTGAAGGATAAGTTGGGTAATAGCAGTATGGTGGGGTTGGGCCATAAGACTGAGATTTGGTGATCAAGGGCAATGCTAATACAATATAGTTTAATAATGAGTATCAAACCAGGCCTAAGATAAGGATGGAGAATACTCTAGGTCAGCTTCTCAAGCTTTTTCCATGTGGGATGCCAAAACAGTTGAAGTCTGCTGCAGTGACTCAGTCACTAAATCATTTGCATTCACATCCTAACATCCTTCGCGGGGCACAGCAAGAATTGGATTCGGTTGAGGTGGAGAGAGGGCATGTTCTATTGGGTGAGCGGCTGGTGTTGGGGATGTTGGTGCTGCCTGGGTGCTACTTGGGGTTTACAACTGGATGTGGATGCTGCTGGTGGGGTGTTGAGTGCTGGGAGGTACAGTAAGGTGGAAGTGGCGGGGTGCTGCTAGAAGGGAAAGGGGGTGCTTCCTCTTTACTCCTGTCCCCACCTTCACTCTGCCTTGTTCCAGTGAAGTGCTGCTTAAACCTGGTGAGGGGCTGACTGAATGCTGTGAGCAGCAGGGCCATATGGGTCCTTACCGCCTTTCACCCTCAGCCTTGCTAGAACAGAATGTGATGCAGGCAGCAGGAAACAGAGGAAGGAAGGCAAATGGGAGGAGTGCCCACAGGACAGGGCAGAAAGGCAGGACACTAGTAGGAGGGAGCCGTATTTCTCCTTCCCTCCCCTTAGCTAGCTTCCTTTGGGTCCTAGCAGAGGTGGCAGAAGCACATCTTGAATTGAAGCCAGGGAGGTGGACGGATAGCAGAGGGAGTCATCACATCCTGGCTCCATCACATCCTTGTCCCCCGGCTGGATTCTGGGTGTTGTGGTTGCTGCTCCAGTCCCTCTGGGTCCCACTCTAGCCTTAGCCCCCTCTGCATGTGTGCACAATTACTGCCTCCCTATCAGTGAAAGTGTGCCCTACCCCTGCCCACCGCGGGGGAGGGAGGTGCTGGCCAGAACTTGATTGGCTCTCAGCTCCCAAACTATCAGCCAATGGGGAGGCAATAACTGGAGCTGGGCGGCGTGGGGCAGAGTCGGAGGGGAAGTGGAGCCAAGTGTGGGGTGGAAACATAGTTCACCTGCTGCAATATTTCCATTGTGGTGGCACTAGCCTCCACTGCTCCTATGGTTCTGCTGACCGTGGGTCCTCCTGTTCACCAGGGTTTAATTTTGCCATGACTAACCTTGGGTGCTTCAACCCCTCTAGGGTTGGTTCCAACTTTTCTGTCCAAACTGTTTTCAGAGGGAAAATTGGGTTGTTGAGTCAATGAAATTTTTCTTGAACAGTGTATGCTTTCGGCAGAAAATGCTGGGTTTTTGCTCAAACGTGTTTGGCTGAAAACAGAAAGATTCGGGATCAAAAGGTAGCTGTAGGGCCTCAGGAGAGTTGTAGTTTGCTCCTCATGTCCCCAAGTTTTTCTACAGGCCGAGATTCCCTGCTGGACTATATCTCCCCTAATGTACCCAGGGCCAGGGACTCCATGTTGCACTCCTTCTTCACCAGAAGGGGAGATCTGTAATGCATTATGGGAGCTGTAGTCCAGTTGGGGTCCCAGCCCATAAAGAACAATGGGGCCGGAGGATCAAAATACCACTCCTGTGGGGCTCTACAACTCTCATTGTTGGCTGAAATCTTTCAGTTTTGCATTTTCACTGAAAACTCAAAATTTCCCATGGAAACTTTAAATGGAAACAAAATATTTTTTGATTTTGTCAGATATTTCCACCAGGGAAAACTATCTTTGGACCAGCCCTAAAGCCCTGCTGTAGACCAGGGTCTAGAGTACTGTGAGCCATGATTAAGGTGAAATGCTATTAGGGTTATTCTGGTTTAGTGACAGGTTTTAATTTACTCTAGTTTGTGTTGTGATTAGCAGAACAGATCTGTCAAATTTAGTAAATCCCCTCTGACAGTTCTCTGTGTACCTAGTGACTTATAATGCATTTGTTACCTCTCTTCAGCAGATACTATATTGATGGTTGTGATATATTTCCTGCCCGTTATCCAGAAGCCAAGTGCCTTTTATATTCATAAGTGTTTCCTTTCCTAAAGCTCACAAACATTGCAAACATGTCTGTGAATATCATATTTGCTCCACAATGAGTTGAGGTAACAGTGCAAACAAAACTGACTTCACTTGATTTTTATTTTTAAAGTTCTTTGGTCTTTTAACTGTGTCACATTTCAGCCACAGTGATACCTCAAAAGACTGTTAGCCCTAATGTGTCGTCTCATCGAGCGTGAAACCCAACAAACAAGTCACCTGGGCCCCATTACTTAGATAACGTAGACAGATGAGGAGAACATTATAATCTTCTCTGGGTTTCCCAGCTACATATACTGTATATTCTAAATGTGACCCAAAATATGTCTTTACCTACAGGACACATTTTCAAATATCGGCACCGAGCAGAATATGAACCTGTGTAAACATAATTACAATTACATGTTTGCATCTGAAAGCAAAAATTCTCCAAGCACAACTTAGGTGCCAGTATCTAAAAATTCAGCTCATGTAGATTTCAAGCAGATCTCCTGAACAAGTCAAGGATTTCTCTAGCACTTCTAAGCATCCCACTGCATTGAATACCTTGTGCCACTGGCCATCATTGATTTTGTTTGGAATCATTGTTTTGGTGTCCCCACTTCCCAGGTCATAGCTGAAGTAAGGCAGTCCATTCTTTATCTGAACAGTGGCAAAATCAGCATGGTTGATCCGGGCCATATAAAAAAGCAAGCCAGATTCAGCCTCTGTTCGGACTTCAAATTCAATTGTGAGCCTGAAAAGCAAACACAGAACCAAAGAAATTTTTTTCTCAAAATCAAATGGAGGAAAAATTAATTCTCTCTCTCTCCCCCTCCTCCCTTCCTTCCTTTCAGAAAAATGAATTTTTAAGAGGCCAGATACCAGTGCTTTTGTTTGTCCATCAAAACTTAAACATCATTCAGACCTGAGAGCTTCATTTTATTTGTTAGTCCAACGCCTATTGTGGAGATGTATATTATTTAATACAGCAACCCTGCTGATGACCCATGTAGGTGTCCAAAGTGATGCTATATAATGGAGTTTCTGTCTTTTCACCATGGTTTTTTTTTTAACTAAGAAATTACACACAAAAAACTATTTTAAAATAACATTACATTTACTTAGTCAAGCACTCAAAATTAGGAAATGTCAGAATTAAGGTTGCCTGTGCAATCAAAGGAAGGTGAACAAGACTAGGAAGGTGAACAAAATTCACTAGTTTCACTTGAAGCAATTATTAATTGTCACACTCTTTCACTGCAAAGGTGAGCAATGAACCAGGTATTGCTTCACAATCTCTGGTCCAATAGCTAGGACCAGCCAGTGTGTAGCTATAACTTTCAGAAGGAGTAATTCCATTAATTCTTCTGTGAGGGCGTGTAGCTTGGCGGTGTTCCTGATGTTGCAACAGGTAACCTTGCTGGCTGATTTTAATCATGAGACAAGAAGAGAAAAGAGGAAAAGGGACCTGCTCATTACAAGAAAAATAATTTGGTTTGTGAAGCAGTGAACTTCACTTTCCTCCCCATGTGCAATTTATTAATTCTGTTGCATGAACCGGCTAAACTGGTTCTTGGCAATCGATATCATTCAACTGCACTATGCTCTTGTTTGAACAAAACCCAAACAAATAAAACATTACTCTTGATTGTGTTATTTATGGACCAAGATACCAAACTTTGAAAAGGACCACACCTGGCCTCTAAAACTGAGAACACTTTTGTGCACATAACCTTTTTCACAGGCCAGTTTTGTATGTCCCGAACTTCGATTCTCTCTCCCTCCCCCCAGGGCTCCCCAAATTTATTTGGGCACGCTACTTAGGCAGACTAATCATTACCCAGTTTTCATGCCTGAATGCTATTTGTGTGCACTAAACTAGTGTTTTTGTATGTACAAAACTGGGCCACAGAAAATTGCACTCAAGAATGTGCCTAAACTTTTTGAGAATACGATCCAGAGTGTTTTGCTTGTCAGTCATCCACATAAGACCTCACTTTTATTACTTCATCACAAAAATCAGATGGTGTACCTGTTCTTCACTTTGGTATCATCAAATGCAGCTGCAATATGGCTGTTCCTTGAAAGACCAAATTGTTTGCCACCCTCCAAAATAGCTGGCTCTATATCAGCAGCACAAGAGTCCTGCAAAATATAAATCATGTCATTGATTGAGCATATGAATTTATTATGTGCTTTACAGCAGTATAAAGCATACATCCGAAAATATAAAAAACCTCTTCTATAGTCTCCTAGGGATGCTAGTAATATTTTTCAAGAAGAACTTCTCATTCTGAACCTCATCTGTCCAAGTGCTAAAGTCCCTTCATTTACCCTGGAGCACTTTAGAATATGTTCTTTATTACAGGTATTGGCTCTGCAACTTCCCAGTGTCTTTTGTCTCTCCACGTAAAATAAAGTTAGCAGGCAATATAATGAAGATTTATTTTAAAAGCAGAGTTCCTTTAGACTTATGTACTGCTTTTTCATCATCAGGGTATGCTCACCAGATCTTTAAATGATTTCTGGACAGCTCAGTGCATCCTTAAATGTAGCTCACTGACACTTATACTTTAAGGTGCTGTCTTATAGAGCCTAAGCAGGACTGAAATCTTAAAGGGACACTATCAACTTGAAATCTAGCCAATCCTTTAAAAAAATAGAAGTAATTGCAGGTGCTACACCTGCCACTGAGTCCCCATGCCATTTTTTTGTTTGTTATACAATCAGGTTTCTTTCTCTGTCTTTCAAAATGTTTTCTCTCTCCCTCTTTCCCCTCCTCCCAGCCCCCCGTTGCTGTTTGAAAGACCCACACAAATATCAGGGAAACTGACTAGTTAATACAGAGGAAAAACAGGTACTATACACTTTGTGATATCAAATGCACAAACATGACAAACCAAAGAAATAAAGAAAAATGCTGTTTTTTTCCCAGCTATAGTGGTCTCTTTCAGCTACATTACTCTTAGGTGTTACTTGTAACAATAGAAGGTAAAACATTTTCAGAAGTGTGATTTTTTGTTTTTGTTTTTTACTGTGTCCCTTAGAACCTTGATCATATAGCCACGGTCTAGCACTGTTCAATTGAAAGGGCCACAATAATGATTATCTCCCCCAATACTCCACTTTGGGGTATAGTGTGAAGAAGTTTCTCAGAGGATCTAAAACAGCACGATCTCAGGACAATAATACCACAGGAAAAAACAGACTTTGGTAACTCTATTTTTAAGCACTGTGTTTAACACTTCTGGATTGGCCACAGCCTCTGTCTGAGCCCTGATTCAGCAGGGGCCCTCAAAGTACAATGTGCTGTCTTGCTTGCCAAAGTGTTCTTTCTGTGAAGCATTTTCAAGATGTCATGCGTGATTCCCCAGGAAACAGGAAATTTCTATTGCAAAGAGGAAATTCAATTCCCCTCTCTGGAATTTCCCTCTTCAGTAACGGGATATTTTGTCTTTCACAAGTCACAAAGAAGCCCTCACAACAGTTGAGAACTTTTTAAAAAACATTTCCCACAAAAACTACGAGTCTGTTCTGATTATGACAATCCTCCATGTACAGTAGAAGAGCATGCACTGTGACAAGTACACACCAACGTGCAATTAAAAGAAAAAAGGGAGAAAGATGTTACTCAACAGCACAAAACAAATGAGTGATGAATGTGAGATGAGAGGTTTCAGAGGAGCAGCCGTGTGAGTCTGTATTCGCAAAAAGAAGAGGAGGACTTGTGGCACCTTAGAGACTAACCAATTTATTTGAGCATGAGCTTTCGTAGTCTTTCAGTGATTAACAAAAGGATAAAGGTGAGGTAATTGCAGGATAATACTCCTCTAATGCTGGCTAATGTCCAAAGCTGTTTTAACCGTTACAGTCTTAGCCTGACAGTTTAACAACTGGTAATGGTACTGTGTATATAATATATCCACCATCGGTTGTTTAAACTTGGAGATAAATTAAAGTCTGGAATTGGCAGATGGATGAAGAATGGAAAAAAATGGACCTAAAGTGGACATTTCAATGGCACACTGGTGCATGTTACAATGTTAAGGGGGCAAAGTCTGCCCTTGGTTGTCTGTTTCTGGCCTCCAATGATTTCAGTTAGGGAAAAATTTGGTTGTCAGATGTCAAATATTACTAAACTATCTTAGTTGTTGCTACTTTCAGTAAGCACTGATGCTTGGGCTCAATAGGAGGACTGGTTGGGTAAGGAATTAATGGTCAGTGCCACAAATGTTGCTGGGGGGTTGGTAATAGGTTAACACACCTATTCATTTATTTTGTCATTATATTGGTCTTTTATTCATCTATCCCTTAAAAACAAAGCTTAAAAATAGTCATTTGTATGGAGGTGGAAGTGTCAGTGAGAAAAAATTGTAAAAGAGAACTGTTCTAGAAAATTCAGGCTTTATTCACAAGCCTATCTCCACACTCATTTCAACAAAGGTCAGCCTGACTTTATCTCTGACAGTCTGACTTTACCTCTTTCACAAGTATGTGAGTTAAAAGCATGGATTATCAGACCAACTTGGAGTTTCCTGGCTCTGTATTTTGTATCATAGCCTTAAGGTGTCCCACATTTAAGCCCAACCAGTTAATAAACCCTAACATCACCTGGGAGCCTCAAAACTGAACCATTTTATTAATTACTTTAACTTCACTATTCCCTATATGACAGGAAACAGATCAGCAGAAACCATTGTATATCACAGAAAACTGATAACCTTAGTGGAGCTGTCTGAGCAAATAGGAACTTCACTGTCCAACTTTCTCACACATTCCTCTACAAATGATGCTGCATTAGCACTCACAAGAAAAGTAGTTTGTTAGCAAAGGAAGAAGGCAGCACCACAATTCACCCAACAATGTTAAATAGAACAACTGGAGACCATTTGGGAAAATGCTGGAAGATACCGTGATGATGTCAAAGTAAGCTGTAATGCTGGCGCTCTTCACTTCAGTGACAAACAAGTCCTGAGAAGCAGTAAATAATATGAGGCAGAAGCAGCAGTTACCAAGGCATTGTTCTCCAGCAAGACACATTTTAGCAATCCTAGCAGAAGACAGCAGCAAACAGGCGACCACTGTATTTCTAAACTACCTGACTATCCTGTATCCTGTCTTTTTCTTTTTTTTTAATACAACTTCTTCATTAAGGGTTCAACTCACTGCTGTGGAGATGGAGAGCACATAAGTACTTAAGTCGTATGAATAGGGTGGGATTTAAGTATAGCAAAGTCTTGTTTGGGCCCCCTGCATGTGTGTGAATTTCTGTGCTGAATGGATTTGCACATAAGATTCTTCCAGAATGACTCTGAGGCAATAAATTACCGAATCATAAATGATGTATCCGCTGTTTTGATATAAACCATGGTTATGCTCTTTATTGCAGGTGCAAATACCGAGCAATAGAGCTGAGTGAAATTTTTCAATACAAATTTTTTGGCAAAAAATACAGATTCAGCAACACTGAAACATTTGGCGAAGTCATGTAGATTTCACCAAATTGTGTTAGCCCCCCCGCCAACATTTTTTTTAAAAACCACAACACTTAAAAAAATTCTGAAAACAATTCAAATGCTTTATTTCAACATTTTCAAAATGAAACATTTTGATTTTTTGGTTCAAAATTATTTTTCATTTTAAAATTTTCTTTAGCTTTATCTAAATGATTTAAAGTGTTCAAAATCGAAACACAATGTTTTGTGTGCAACCTAAAATTATTTTTTGATTTGCTGAAAATTTTTAATAAATTTGTATGAGTCAGCCCAAAATGATTTTTTCCCACCGATTTTCCAGAATTACCAGTAAACCGAAAAATCCATTATTTGCCCAGTTCTACTGAGCAGGATTTAGGTAAAAATAAATAAATAAATAAATATAAAAAAGCTAGATTACTTAAGGTGCTTTTGAATGTGCAGAATTCGAAAACACTTTTATTTTTCAAAAGAGAAACTTCAGGGGTGTTGGTACATGTGAATTTTTCACACATTTTTATTCAGATTGTCACTTTGGGCAATATATGTGGATTACACAATTCACCATGGTTCCATGTACCTCATGTGTAAATTCCATCTCTTTATTAAACAACAACATTAAACAATAACAATTATTGTAAATAATGTTAAACATTTAACTAATGTTAACTAATATTTATTCCTCTTAATTTTGCCCTTGAAAAATGGCTAGTATAAATACACACGTATTCAGACACTGGAAAGAGTCTCTCAGATTTATAGACAGAAGTCAGCCAAGCAACGGAAACAAAATAAATAAACAAAGAAAGAAACAAACCCTTCTCTCAAACAGCCTGACTTTCTCTCTTTTATGAGAGTGGGAAGGTGGCAAAATGGATTATCACCTTTATCTTGGAGTTTCTTCGCTCTGTATATTTGTGTCATAGACTCAGTGTTTTCGAACTGTATAATTTTTTTTATTGAAAATGGAAACATATCAGTTTCATCATGTTACAATTTCGCCATCTTGTGGGTAGTAATCAAAAGTGTTGCTTTAGTTCCTATATAAATAGGCTGGGCAGAATTCAATTTTAATTTTTTTTATCATTTCAATGGGTACTATAAATGTTTATTTTAAGCATTTTTAAATTTGTATCAATTTACATTTTCACCATTGCTCAAATTGTGGGTATGAAGCATTTTTTTATTTGTATTGATTTAAATTTTCATGATTGTGGGAAATTATAAGGGTGGTCAGACAACTCAGACAACACAGCTACAGAGTTGCAACAAACTTCTGGGTTTGTACAAAAACAAACTCAAGACTGTGGATTTTTTCACAATACTTTCCAATTTACTATTTCACGCCCCTGAACTATTTGTCCAGGAAAATGCTTTGCCAACTTTTAATATTTCTGTATTGGAGCAGGAACAACTTTCTCTAACAGTTTAATCATCTGAGCTCCTTTACTGAGATACACATTTTTAAAATTCTTTCCAATAACACCCAGTTTTGCACTGCCAGGAGTTTGAAGCCTGAAAGTCTATTCCACACTGATTAGGCCTCAGCTGGAATATTGTATCCAGTTCTGGGTGCGACATTTCAGGAAGGATGTGGACAAACTGGAGAATGTCCAGAGAAGAGCAACAAAAATGGTCAAAGGTCTAGAAAACCTGACCTGACTATAAGGGAAGATTGAAAAAACTGAGTTTGATTAGTCTGGAGAAGAGAAGACTGTGAGGGGGACAAGATAACAGTTTTCAAATACATAAATGGTTGTTACAAGGAAGAGTGAGAAAAGTGTTCTTCCTAACCTCTAAGGATAGGACAAGAAGCAATGGGCTTAAATTGCAGCAAGGGAGGTTTAGGTTGGACATTAGGAAAAACTTCCTAACTGTTAGGGTGCTTAAGAACTGGAATAAATTGCCTAGGGAGGTTGTGGATTCTCCATCATTGGAGGTTTTTAAGAGCAGGTCAGACAAACACCTGTCAGGGATGGTCTAGATAATATTTAGTCCTGCCTTGAGTGCGGGGGACTGGACTAGATGGCCTCTTGAGGTCCCTTCCAGTGTTATGATTCTATGATTCAGCAGTCTTTTGGCTAAGGTTATAAAATTTCCCAGGAATCGTCATATCATATCAGACCTGTGGTCCAGCTCGCTCAGTATCCCGTCACTGAGAGTGGCTGATACCAGAGGAAGGTGCAAGAAACACCATCTTGAGATAAATTTCCCATAGGGGAAGCTTCTTTCTAATCCTAATCAGTTAGTTGTTGTCTTAAATCCTGAAGCATGAGGAATCCCACCCTTAACTCTCAACCTGTGACTATTTAATTTCTTTAACATACTCTTCTGATGGAGATCACCAAAGATTTTTGACACTCAAAGTAAATTTGATCAGTCAGTTTTCCTTTGTTCTTTATTTTACTGACATATTCCAAGAACTCTAGTAGATCAGAGAGGCATGAATTTCTGATGATGTTCAATCAGCTGTTTTATTAATCTTTCTCTATGGCTAGTTTTTCAAGAGAGCTGAGTTTCTACTTAGGCACGTCAGTGAAGTGGCTGGGTTCTTAAAAGCAGGCACCAACCAGCAGCTCCCTTTGTTTTAATTTAGTTTGAAAAATCTGACCCTTATTTATAATTTATAATTTCAGCAAATTTACTGGAAGCCAAAGTATGATTCACTGGTCTGTAATTCCCTATCACACCTTTTTAAAAACAACTGTTACCTTCCAGTCTTCTGATATAGATGCTGATTTTAATGAAATCACCTTTTTATTTTTTCAATAGGGTTAATACACATGAATACCCATGAATATCCATAAGCACAGTCCACATATATACAGAGCGTACACACACATACGTGACACACGTGTGCAAAGCATTACATCCTAATATGATGATAGCAAGGCATTCATTTTTATAAAAGAGCTTTTAATCATTCAGTGTGGTCCTGTCCTTGACCATGACAAAAAAGAAGCACATAAATGACACAACACTTTGGAGGAATGAAGGAAAAGCCAACAAAAACAAAATCTGTGATTGCCATGTGACTTTCTGGAGTTCTTGGGAGATTAAAGAGGGGAGAGGTGGAGAAAGGGGATATGTAATGGAATCATATCATCTCAGTGTGACTCAGGATGCTACATTTCAGAGTGGTAGCCGTGTTAGTCTGTATCATCAAAAAGAACGAGGAGTACTTGTGGCACCTTAGAGACAAACAAATTTATTAGGGCATAAGCTTTCATGGGCTAAAACCCACTTCATCGGATGCATGAAGTGGAAAATACATTAGGAAGATATATATATATATATCTATCTGTCTACACACAGAGAACATGAAAAAATGGGTGTTGCCATACCAACTCCAACAAGAGTCATCAATTAAGGTGGGCTATTGTCAGCAGGAGAAAAAAAACTTTTGTAATGATACTCAGGATGGCCCATTTCAAGCAATTGACAAGAAGGTGTGAGTAACAGTGTGGGGAAAATTAGCATGGGGAAATAGTTTTTGGTTTGTGTAATGACTCATCCACTCCCAGTCTTTATTCAAGCCTAATTTAATGGTGTCCAGTTTGCAAATTAATTCCAGTTCTGCAGTTTCTTGTTGGAGTCTGTTTTTGAAGTTTTTTTGTTGAAGGATTGCGACTTTTAGGTCTGTAATTGAGTGTCCAGGGAGGCTGGAGTGTTCTCCGACTGGTTTTTGAATGTTATAATTCTTGACGTCTGATTTGTGTCCATTTATTCTTTTGCATAGAGACTGTCCGGTTTGGCCAATGTACATGGCAGAGGGGCATTAACTGGACAGTCTCTACATAAAAGAATAAAGGACACAAATCAGACGTCAAGAATTATAACATTCAAAAACCAGTCGGAGAACACTCCAGCCTCCCTGGACACTCAATTACAGACCTAAAAGTCGCAATCCTTCAACAAAAAAACTTCAAAAACAGACTCCAACGAGAAACTGCAGAACTGGAATTAATTTGCAAACTGGACACCATTAAATTAACCTTGAATAAAGACATGGAGTGGATGAGTCATTACACAAACTAAAAACTATTTCCCCATGCTAATTTTCCCCCTACTGTTACTCACACCTTCTTGTCAACTTTTTGAAATGGGTCTTGATTATCGCTACAAAAGCTTTTTTTTCTCCTGCTGACAATAGCCCACCTTAATTGATGAGTCTCATTAGAGTTGGTATGGCAATACCCATTTTTTCATGTTCCCTATATGTGTGTATATATATATATATATATATATATATCTTCCTACTGCATTTTCCACTGCATGCATCTGATAAAGTAGGTTTTAGCCCATGAAAGCTTATGCCCTAATAAATTTGTTAGTCTCTAAGGTGCCACAAGTACTCTTCATTCTTTTTTCAGGATGCTATGATCATCCTATTGTCAGCTTTTTTTGAGGAAAAAAATAATATGATTCAGGATTCAGACTTGTCCTGAGCTTTAGTTGATAATCTGCTTCATTTACATGCTGGATGAAACATCCAGAACTCTATAATAGTGTAGATACCCCAACTACTCAATATCCTCTAGCTATCTACCACACCCATCATCATAATTTTAAGGCACCATTATTGATTCCTCTCCTCTTCCCACATAAAAGAGACTTCTCTTCTAAAACTGTTCTTCATAGACGCAATATACACTTACACGTGCAGGAGGTGAAGGTGGTGGAGGAGGAGAGGAAGAAAACTTGGGGGTGGTAGTTGTGCTCTCTTTCTCCTCTTTAGTATCAGGTTCAAGCTGGATCAAGACAGAAGCAGGGGTAGCTTCATCTTCATCTTCAGGAAGTCTGGCCTCGGGTTCTAGAGTGGGACACTGGCCTATATCTGCATTTTTGAAGGACACAGGCTGAGCGAAGTCCATGGGGCTATGGAGATACAATGAAATCAATAGGTCTCATCAATTCCTCTGCCTCTCTGTGTCACGGAAGACGCTATGGTACTGCTCTGTGTTCACACTTGACCAAGCACTGAGTCTGTTGCTTTAAAGTGTTATCAATGTGATTTGTTTTACAGAAGTTCCATTTCATTCACCATTCCCTTTTTTCTGTCCACCTGTTCCCTCCAGATCATTAACCTAGTGGAGCAGAACTTTTCCTATGGTTAAAGCTCCACACTAGCATACTAATTTCCATAATCTGACAGTCCAGGATCTCAGTCTTATTTAAAAACAATGGCACAGAGTTCCATTACACTGGTCTATAACACCAACACATTACTCAGGTAAGCTGCTGTGGTCTGGAATGTGGCCGTAGAACGCTCTGGTATGTTTTGTGGGCAGGCACTAGTTCTTGCACCCAGAAGGAGACTGACCTCAATAAATCAGACCTATGTCCTGTCAAGTGCATACTGCATATTGATATACCAAAAAGAACAATGGCTTATAAAGCAGTTTTTAGGTACCCTTTTGAGTAAGTTTAGCTTTTGACAGCAACTTTTCTCTTGGCAGATGAGGTGCTTATCGCTTCAGTAACCAAAATACTTGTGAGCACTAGTAAGACCTACTTACATGGCATTGATGACAAGGTTCCATATGCAACCCTCAAAAGGGGGTATGTTCCTGACAGGTGCAGCCTGAAAGTGAGGCGGAGTCCCTCCCACAAAGAGCTTTTTAACAGTTATAGACTGATCAGTAGGTAGCCTCTGAGTCTGGCTTCTGTCTTCATCGACTTGAACAGTAAACATCCTAGGAAAAGATTAAAAACAAATGAATAAAAAAGGATCTACTATGGCTATTGCTTGCATTAAAATCACCATTTTGCAGGCACCATTTACTGCTGCACCGGCTACCACACTGGGTGAAGCCAAATTGCATGATTAGCAACACCACATTAAGCAAATATTAGCTACTAACAGGTTCACAGCCACTACTATGCTTCCTTCATTAATTCTCCATCAGGGCATGGCAACACCAGACAGTGGAGTTGCAGTAACAGTAGCTTCTGGTTGAACTGAAAATAGTAGTCCGAAGCATGACAGCACTGACATGGTAAGAGTCAAGCCTGCTGTATGTGACATTATGTATAATCAAATAGGGCTCAGTGGGATATAACAGCATGGGGTCACATTTTGTTTGGCTCTTTATTTTCTGGTTTGTACTAGTTATTATCTTCTTGCTAGAGGACAAACAATGCTCTGGAGTGCTCTGATTGCAGGAATCAACAGTAGATATATACTGTACATTTTAAAAATATATGGTTAGTCTGTTTTGCGGGAAGGGGGTAAGGGAGAAAGCCATGTGGATTGTTCACTGTAATTATGCAAACACATGGTCCAAATGTAAGAGAAGAGGTCACACAAAGACAATGCTACAGAGCAGTGAGATAGAGGCATACACCCATGTATGTCAGTGTAAAATTATTGAAAGATTTTTACCACGTTTATAACAAGGCTAGGAGGGTAGAGAAATCTAGCTTGTTAGGAACCTGTATGCTGAAAAGAAGGAAACAGGTACTAATACAGAGAATGTAGATGTAGAGAGACTGTGAGTTATTTTGATGGGTAACAAACATAACATAATAAGGCATAACAATAACAGGGTGAGCAATCTATCTGCTGCTATCTTTGGGACAATCTGAAGATGAGTGATGAAATGGACAAAGGCTGTAGCAACTTAGCAAGTCTAACTCCATGTGAACTCAGTGCCAAAAGGTGGATCAGAACTTCACTGTGTTTGAAGGTGCAAGTGGAATGCTATTTGACATAATTTCTTTACATTGCTATACTGGATTTAATAGACATTAGCCATGGGAGAGTAACAAAAAAGAGAGAGGACTCCGGTGCAGGTTATCAAGTGTGCTGTTATTTTAGAGATGTTGAGTCAATTCTCTATTTCAGGATCACAAGAAGTTAAATATTAGGGCCTAAATATTTATACATCGGTGCCTAGAGTTAGACATCTAAATCCATGTTTAGGTGCCTAAATAATCAGTCTCATTTGTTCAGAAGAAGTGAGCACCAACAGAACACTCTGAAAGAGTCGGTTTCTGGCAAATAACCTCATTTTCTCAACTATAGATTCATATAACAAAGAAAATTCAATCCTCCCTCCTCACTCCCCCCCGCACCCAAATAACACAAATCTTGTAAATTATAGAATATAAATGAATTAAAAAAACTTTATCCAGGGGAGGCCAATTTTCAAAGTTAAGACACCCAAGTACATGTTATTTGGATGCTCATATGCAGGAACAGGCACTCAAATGTATGCACAAAAATTAAAAATTAGGTTTACTGAGTGCAAAACATCCAATCTCTTCATAGTTACAGGTAGCATCATTTTGATCAAAAGACGTAAGTTGTACACTATGCCTTTCTTAGATTCCATTCTATTGCAGGAATTGCTTATACTGTACATTGTTGCTTATTGACACCTTCAGCCAAGTACAATACTTTATCTCATCTTCAGATTACCATAGAAAACATTTACACATTTTGCAACAGAATACTACCAGACAGTGCATTGGTCCTGAACACTATCCTACAATTTTATCCTGGAATGGGAAGCAATTCGTTTATAATTATATGGACAATTAGCTACTTGAAGAGTTTTCAAATGATGCTCCCCATATTTAAGCCTGAGTTGATGACAAGCAGATAAAGGGGTTAGGTTTAATCATTTATATCTTTTCATTTCCAATCCAGCCTGTGTTACATGAAGTGCACAGTCTTCATTTAATTTGTTTTGTAACAGAGCTACTGAGAAAATTTTGAAGGCTTGATTCTAATATGCATCTCTCATCACTGGATGGCGTTGTAGAGCAGTTATGTTTTGATTTATTATAAGAGATTATTACCTTTGTTATAAGCAGTTTTATTTGGTGATTCAAGTTAAAAGAGTTTACCTTATGTTTAAAAATTTGTATTATCATCATCACATAACATTAGTCTTTCAAGAGAGCATGATGGGTTCTTTTTTTTTAATATAAGAAAAAATCTCTGTCCCTACGAATTTACAATCTAACAAAAAACAAATGACAGGAAATGCTGGGGTTGGGGAACAAAATTGCAGTAGGGCATTATTTACAACAAACAGGTGAAAGAGGCAGTGAATTTCTCCTGAGCAGAGATTATAGTGAAAGAAGGCAAAGCCAAGAGAAATGATTTTTAAGGTAGAGGGGAGAAAAAGCACCTGGTGACTAGATGGAAGAGGAAGTTCTTCTAGGCAGTTGGGAAAAAGACAAAGTCATAAGTGGAGTTTAGATTAGATGACCATAATAGTTTTAACTGTAGTTTTCACACATTAGCTGGTCAAGGTGAATCATAGTGAGGCACCTATGGTTCACCCCATCAGTTAATGTGTTCAATTACAATCTGCCCTGGATACATTGGAGTTTATAAAATGCTAACTATCACATGTTACTTACAATGTTTTATAAAAACATCTTTTCTCCTAGTGTGCACAAGCCCACTGAATATTTGTACAGTACGTTCCACAATTGGGCCTAGATCCTGACTGAAGACTTTGGGCAGTAACACAATACAAATAATAGTAACTGCATAAATCCCTACACATCAAGATGACAATATGTTTATTGTCTCTAATGCAGGCATCCTTAATAAATGGTAATGTGCATCTCCTTAATAGCCTTTTGGTTGCATGTGTCTGAAAAAGTGGTAAGGGAGGTTGAGCTAGTGAAGGGGTGAATATAGCTGAAATATCTGCAATGGCTTCATTGTGATAAAGAAACATTAGTGTTAATCCGACTACTACGTATCTTCATTTTCTTAACTCACTCAATTGACACCGCTGTAACCATATATATAAAAATTAGCATGTGGTATTTGGGAAAGGTTATCTGCCACTGCTGCTGTTTTGAAAGCTGTCTTTCTCCGCAACTCTTGCAAAGATGACTTACTGTTCTGAAGATTTATTCTTCATCCACACAAATTAGATTAATAAAGTATATTTGCCAAGTACCAAAAGGTTAAATATAGCAATTTTGATTAATGAAAATCTTAAGAGGAGCTGCCTGATAACCTCACTAAAGAATGTAGCCTTAGCCTATACAGTAATAAAATTAGCAGTCAGAAACTGCCTTTTTTGGGGAGGGTAAAGGAAAACAATGCACATATTATACTCTCCTCCTTTCATAAAAAGGAATACTGATTTCAGTCATCTGTTTATTATGGTGATTGAATTAATTGTACTGTGAGTTGTATAGCACCCTGAAGTCCTGGTTTGTTACCCTTTGATTCTTTCTATCCGGATGGAGTGTGCTCTACCATCATGAAAATCGCCGGATTCAGGCTTGATGATGATCCTGCGTGGATCTCGTATTCCAGGGGCGATATGCACTTCTAATCGACCTTTGTTCAGGAACACTGCATAATAGGCCTGTAATGTGGGACAGTTATTAAAAGCTAAGCCACGTTCAGAAGGGAACTGCTTCTCTTAGTTTTGCATTTGCCCAAGCTCTCCCTTAGTAAAGCACATCCCTTGTCTTTTGCTCCACCTACTGTTGCTGGTGGTAGGAAGTAATCTCATTACAGGCTCCTCAAGAACTGTGCCACTATCCTACTTAAGGCATAAAAACATAGTAACTGGCTGAGGCTGCACTTAGAATTCCAGCCACTGAGGATAGTGGATCAAATTTTGCCATCATACACTAGACTGAATCAGGAGTATCTTTTTTGAAGCCAAAGGTGTTACTTTACATTTACAGTGGTATAAAAGAGAGCCTAATTTAACCAGGAATATACTCAAATCCTGGCATCTGATGCTGAGAGCTAGAATGGCTGTTACACTCCTGGAGGGAGTTAAGATATAGCCATTTCAGTTTTGCTGTTATATTCAGATGGACTAAGATACATAAGCAACATCTTTCATGACATTTTGCAACAAGGTATAAAGTGCCATTAAAAATATTTTACCCTTTTTACATGCATGTAGGCAGAAGAAAAGAGAATCTCAGCTCCAAAGCATCCCTGTTTTTTGCTATTACAAAGCCTGATCTTAAACCTTCCATGCACAGAATTACCATGGATCTCAATGGGAGTTCTGTGTATGGAGGGCTTGCAGAATGATGGCCATAGTTACTCCAGTGACCAGTATCACGTTGTGACGGATTTCCAGGATCCATCCCATAGTCACTCCAGCAACCAATGTTATGTTCATGTCTATGTCCTGAAGTTGTGGAAGTAGCTCCCACCCTACAATTAATATCATGTATGTTTCTTTATGGATCAGCCATTTAAATGTGTTGGCTCTGGAGTATGTTCTTTCAAGCCACCAAGTGTTCTGTTCCAATACAACCTTATAGGTGTGGGGGAGAGCAGTGGAAAATCAACTACCAAATGTACTGTACAAGGAAAATAGCACAGCATTTTGTTTTACTATTTCAATAATCTCAAACAACGCCTGTAGTTTTTGGAATTAGTCACTAGGGTAGTGTAGAAACTGTGCTTTGCTGGTGTTAATTCAAGGTCTCGAAGGTTGTTAAACTAGCCTTTATTTTGGGGAGGAAGGGGAGATTGGAGTGTCATTTAAGCTGTGCTCTTGTATTAAAAACAAACAAACCCCAGTATTCTACAAAATCCCCAAACACTAGTAACATTCACGAGGCATTTAGGTCAATGGGAGGTGTGGGTTCACAAGGAAAGCAGAATGGGACCCACAGGAAGCTGGGGTTTTTGGAAAATTACTGTAGAAACTGCAGTAATTATTTAATTAAATCCAGCACATAAACATTGTCTGAGTAGTCCTGAGGAGAACCAAAGAACAATATTCTCGGTTACTCAGGTCTGATAAAAAAAAATGGAAGCAAATATAGGACACAAAAATAAATCTGGTATTTAGGCTAAAAAGTAGGCTCTGTTGTAGCAGTCACTTAGAGAAATCCAGAACTGATCTGTAAATACTGTCAAATCATTATACCAAAGAAAAACAACCCTGTGCAATATTAGTGCTTTGTGTTACCCAACCCAAGAAATGAAAACATGAATTGACAGAATTCTGAGGATTTAAACCCCCCCCCCGCAAATCCTCAATAAAGCCAATGTTCAATGCAAAAGTAAATTGTGAACCCCCATTTTATTTCTCCACCAAACAAACAAAAGCTTTGGAAAGAAAAACCTCATTCAGCAGCTCTGAACTTCTACTTCATCATAAATCTATCATGGCAATGCAGTGGCTGGGTACAACAAGCTGTGTGAAAAAAGCTCAGCAGAAGTTATGAGTTTTCCATATCTTCTACTGTAGTGTTCTTTACCTGCCCGGTCTGTCTGCGTTTTCTCCTCGGGGGTACAGGTGTCCCACCTGTGCCAAATAAGATGACCCCTGACTCATTCTTGGTGCTGAAGGACAGGTTGATTTCTGTACCCATGCCAAATGAGACTGGCTGCAGTTCCACAAAACCTGGTTTGGGGAAGCTAACTGTGTAAAGGTTCTGTGGAAAGGCGAGAGAGAAGGTGAATTGGTATGACACAAAACAAAGTATGAACCCCCCCATAAAGTTATATTTACTAATGCATAGCATTGAGATAGACTATAATACTTAGCCATTTACATTTTCGAAGTGTTGCACAAGCATTAATCAGTCTGTACCATCAATCATTATTAGAACATTTCTGGAATACTAAATTTCAGAGGGAATGAATGGTTTACATAATTGCAGCCTTATTTCACAATATCCAGTTGATTTAAAAGTGACCGCTTATTGTTATTTTATCTGACTGTTTTTCCTTTTCCTGTTTTTCTTTCACTTTTAAATCAAGCCAGTAAAGAACAATAACCAATATGAACATGCATTGGATTCTATTATTTGTAAAATTTGACCAGAATACACTTTCTATTAATCATTCATCATTGCTTCACCATCTGCTAAGCACTACTGCTTCACTGATGAGATACACTCATAAATGAAGCACGTATTGCCCATGGCCCAACTGCTTTGCACACTGGCAGATAGTAGCACAATTTAAAGACATGCAGTATATCAACAAATAATAAATCAATGCATTTTATATCAGGTTTTCTGTAACTGCTGCCCATTTGTGCATCATTCCAACTAGGTGTAGAGAATATTTCATAGAAACAGTCACTTTTTCTAAAATTACTGACAAAATGGTAAGTTGAGTGGAGTTGCCCTCAGACAGAGACATAGTAGATTGTGCCAGATGAGGAGGCAGACAGACATCTGCAATATTTTTCTTTGACATTCCAGGGCATTTAACTAGCTGAGTGTTATTTCAAACCTCATATTTAGTATCATCCTTTTATTGTAAAATTTACAACAAACCCCAAAATTTGTGAGATTCAAAAGAGTTTGTGTAATTCTGTTTGATTTTAAGGGGATAACAAGGCTTATTTTACAGTACTGTTACAATTGTAAATTAATTAATGTTTGTAAAGGACTTTGAGACACTCAAATAGAAAGTTTCAGAGTAACAGCCGTGTTAGTCTGTATTCGCAAAAAGAAAAGGAGTACTTGTGGCACCTTAGAGACTAACCAATTTATTTGAGCATAAGCTTTCGTGAGCTACAGCATCCGATGAAGTGAGCTGTAGCTCACGAAAGCTTATATTCAGATTAATTGGTTAGTCTCTAAGGTGCCACAAGTACTCCTTTTCAAATAGAAAGTGCTTCAGAAGTGCTGTGTAGCACTGGTATATTCTTAAATCCTGGTACGGTTACTCAACCCTTCTTTTTTCTGAGACAGAAACAATTATTTTTACGCAGCTTACTGTGTGAGAGCCTTTTGCATGGGACTGTGCCTTAATGGGTTGTCACTGTGTAGCCTAGAGGTAGCTGCATTTCAATGATCCTCAATCTATGGTAGGTACTGTATTTTGTAAAGTGCTTTAGGATCCTTTATAATGAAAGATGCTAGAAACAGTAACTAATACAAAGTTGGCCTAACTCTATTCTTGTTAAAATCAGTAGTAAAGCTCCCATTGTCTGCAGTAGGTTGAAGCAAAGGTAGGTTTTGAAAATCCCACCCTATGCATGCAGTATGTGATTGATATCTTGTGTTAGCAAAGAAAATCTTTTTTTCATCCTTTTACCCAAAGTAAATATGAGACAGACTAACCAACCTCCAGTGTGCATCCTTTGGTTACGCCAACAAAATCAGGGCTGCTCAGTATATTATATGGTGTTCGTGAAATTTCAATATCTTTGAGGCAGCCTGCATATTTCTTTAAGTTCACTTCAGGCCTGTAAAAAAATAAAATTAAAACCATAGCGCTCGTCATGTGAGTTAACATGCAACATGTTTTCTATGCCCACTATAGAGACTTTATCAATCAGACCCACACACTCATGCATTCATATGCACAAAGATACTCTACTGTATTTTTTTTTAAGCACAGGTACACGTCTGAATGGGCGAGCATTGTGTGCGCACACACAAAGTACATCCTGCTTTCCATCGCTCACCAGCACACAGTACAGTCTGGCTACCATCATCTATCAGAGGTGTTAAAGGATGTTCTTCTCATCCCCCAACAAGAATGGTCTTTGGCTCTACTCTTTTTTTCCTTTAAAGGAGTGCTGTCACCTTTGACATTTAAATGAGGTAAACTACAAAATAGTAGGTAGCTGTCCTCCAGGCAAAACCAAACGATGCAGGCTGGAAATCATAACAACAAGGAAAGACCTTGACTGGAAGACAAATGTTTCTTTCATATAAACACTAGATCTTGATGGAAGAGGGACTTTTGTAACTTGAAGAAGTTTAGGATGAAATATTTGCTAAAAACTGCAAGAATAATTCATTCCTAGTCTTGGATTTTTCCGACTAAAATAGCTTTCTTGTTTTGCTCTAATGGACTAAGATTCATTCCTTACATATCCCTCATTTTTCCCAAATACCATTCTATAAATGCCATAGTATTATTTCAGCCTTTCCCAGTCAGTTAACTCTCCCTGCACAAAACACTTGGTTTTTGATCTGGATCCTCACTATACAGCCACATCATGAAGGGCATCCTACTGTAATTGCAAAACTCCTGCGCTATGGTTTGCATAGTCTTTCAATGCCAGGAGAAACGACAAAACCGCTGAGCATTCCACCATAACTAGCTTGCTCGTGTGGAAGTAATTCAGAGACCTCAGTTCTAAGGGCACTAAATCAAGCCCCAGGACTCGTGGCCAAGTTGGCCCTTTATTATAGTCATTCGCCACCAATTAGCAAGAACGAACTGCTCGATGATCCCCAGTTCGAACCCCATGAACTCCATGAACCCCCCGCTATTCAAGCCATGGAGACTAAATTCAAAAGGAGGAGCAGTGACTGTAGCTAATTCACTGATACTGTAGTTAATTCACCTGGAGTGAATTAACTAATAATTCATGTTATTACAGTCTTTGGAGATGACAACAAACATCTTAATGGGACATGGGGACAACCAGACCGACCAAACAAAAGAAAAATGTTTTTAGAAAATAACAAGGAATGAAAACTGGGGAATTAAAACTGAAAACCAGGGCATTAAATTCAGAATCCCGGAAAAATCTATTTATTATGATTTTCAACGCCATTAATTACAAAATAACTTGATATAAACAGTTCATTTCAAATACATATTTTGGAACTGAAAGCCATTCTTTGCATGATAGCCATCTCAGAAAGCAAAGCACAGATTCTGACAATTTTGCATCCTTTACGTAAATTAGACTAACCCTCTGGTTTACTAAAATAATCCAAACTCTGCTTCATTCACAGTCATTCAGTTATAGTCAGTCTTTCATTTCTGATTCTTTACATCCCATCTCTTCATCCCATCCAAACAGCAATTCCACATTCCTACCCTTTTTCACTGACATCTCCAATTTCAGAAATTTGCTATTTCCAACCTCCAACTCTTAACTAGAGTTATGTGAACTTTAACTCTGTATGAAATTTTACCTCTGCTTTCATGCTGGGGCTTCAGTAAAACAAGGTCAAAGTTCATCCAGAGATTTTCTGAGATTCACAATAGTTTCTGAAAACCTGGGCTGAATTTCAGGTGAACCTAAGTAGGGTTTCTCTGAAGTAAGGGGCTTCAAGGGAAACATGTATGGCTTTGTTCTAATCATTGGGGTTTGTTAATTTGGGGATTGCATGTTTCTGACTCAAAACCAGGTATTAACATGGAGGTCTGAGCAAAATTGAATTTACACTTGAAAAGTCCAAGCAAAATTCCAGAACACAAACCAACCCAAACTGAAACCCATGTGCACAAAAGGTGTCACAACCCCCCATTGGCCCAAACTGGCAAGTTTCACACAGATCTGCTGCTAACCTTCCTGCCATTTTTAGGAATTAAATCATTGCCTTGGAGAATAGCACTTCCGGGCCCTGAACTTGTTGAACTACTAAACTGCCCCATGCTGAGCAGAAATCTCCTGTACCTAGCTTTCTTTAACTCGGATCTTGATCCAATTAAAAAAACAACAACAAAACAATCTACAGCAGACACAAGCAGCTATGTGAAGAGGCGAGAAAGGTATTTGCTTATGTGTGTGCACAGCTTGCAACAAGAGAGTGTTAAGCACATAGGAGCAGCTTTGCCTGTTGCAGCAGGAGCAACTTGCTCAATTAACAGCCCCAGGGGAACGGCAGGTGTAAATGCTACCCACAGGCTGCTTCTGCACTGCCACCTAAACCAAGCTGCGCTTATTCAATGCATGCACGTCATGCAGATATTCAATTATTTTTACCTTGCTTTCATACTAGGATAAAAGAGAGGAAAAAACAATTTTATTTTTAATTACATTCATTGTAGAAAATGATCTAGATTCAGAACATTTCATATTGAAATTGATCTAGATCTCCCAGTGAAAACAGATGCTGGTTGGTGAGATTCTTTTAATTTAAATAAATATACACCAGGCCTTAATAGGCTAGCACAGTTAACAGTGTTATTCCCCTCCACACATTCTCCCATAAAATGTCATATTGATCAGTAAGTTGTTTTATTATTTGTTATCACAATTAGTCCTCAGTAAAATAAAATCATGAAAGAACTGGCAGGAGATGGGTCTGGGACTGATACAGCCTGGCGTTTACAAAGTCACAGGTATCTCGATGTCTGCTGCTTGCAGCAACTCAGATGATCTTTATCTTTGATAGTAATTTATTGTAACATGCATCTTGCACCAGGTCACAACTGATGAATCACAGCTGCAGGCACAATGGTTCCCACAGTTTCAAATAGCTAGGGTGTTCTTGGTTTCCTAAGTAACCAGAAAGGATATGCCTAGGAGTAATTTCTTCGTATAATTTGGCACACATCCGTGTGACTTCACAATTACATAATGCAATGTGAGACATCATGAGGGAAAAGCTTGGTTTTTTTATTACAAGGTAAACTGATATCAGAGGTACCGTAAATTAAACATAATAAATTAACAATATCCCTGTTCTCCCCTTGGTTGTGAAACAGCCTCCTAAAGTATAGCTAGGCTTCCTGGTGCACAAGGTGACTTTTTGACTGTCATTATGAAATGTAAATGAAGTTGACCCAGATTAATAGGCTTGTTTTTGTTATAGTTCATCTCCTTGTTGTAGTCAGATTTTTTTGTGTTGCAGAAATAGCTGAGCATTCACTGAATCCCAACAATATTTTTCAGATTATTTAAAAGCCCCTTGTTAAATTCCAGCATCTCATATCCCATTTCTTAAATACTTAAGCACAGGGAAAAAAACATGCAATATATTTTATACATAATGAAATGTACTGTGGAGAAGTTTTGCCCAAGTAAGCAGTTGAGGATTGGACTCTCAGAAAAATAAAATAAAATGAAATTAACCACATTTCATTGCATTTAAAGTATACTGCATGATATTTTAAATCTATTCAATATAAATTATTGAGCACAAGGAATTTTATCTTACTGAAGAGTTCAAGAATGGAACCCTTGTCTTCAAATCGATTTTAAAATAAGTACAACATGCCATACATTTTATGTAACACATATTGAAAGTATAGTAGGCAACGATCCTGCAAAGACTTACGCAATCATTTCATGTTAAGTAAATGAGTAGTTTCTGACTTCAGTGAGACTACTGATGTTTGTAAAATTAAACATGTACTTAAGTCATTGCAGGACTTGGGCCCTTCTCTGAGCTACAGGTTTGGAACTGCAAATCCATTGTTATAGGAAGCAAAGAAATGTACGGAGAAAGAGAAGCCCAGTTACACCATTATGGTTCCATACACAGCATCAGGAGCCTTTACTGTAGTATAATCAAAGCTCACAGTGTATTTCAAATGGAGCAGTGAACAATTCGAGCCATCTTAAGGTGTGAGAGGGCACTTACAGAGGAAATAACACTCAAGAGGATCAATGCCAAGGACCTTTGGTCCTGCATTGGGAATGGAATTCACCATTCTCCTGGCAAGTAAACTTGAGGAGAAATAGGTACATATAATAAACTTACATTATCTGCCCTCCCGATAGGCAAAGATATTGTTTTAAGTCCAATTACCTCAGGTTTCTGAGAGTTGGCAATCCACCAAAATATATTTTCTCATCAGCTTTCAAGTTGAGACCAAAATGGCTTCCTGTAGAAGATGTTGCGATGATCTCTTCCTGATTAGTGTCTATGTCTACAATTGACACATTGGCTGGAAAAGATTAAGAAGCTGGAAATCAGACATGAACTCTATATTACCCAGTGGAAAAAAACAGAAGAAAAATAATTTTTTTGGAATGTAGGAAGTGGGGTAGTAACTTGCAAGTCAGATACTGGATTTCCAAATCATAAATTAGCTGGGTGGAAGAAAAAAAACATATTTTTCTCTGTTGCCATAACAACCTGAAAAATGCCATAGTAATCTTGTATGCTTTATTTTTAAATATGTTCTATCCCCAGTTCTAACTGGTTTGTCTTCAGTGTCAGTACTTTATTCAGTGAAGAGTTCAGGACAAGATCAAGAATGGGGAGATCATTTCACCTCTGCTTTGTTGGTTTGAATCCAATGCAGAACAGAAGTAAGGAAAAGCTTTTACCATATGATAGCTGCTCAGTGCCGTAAACGTTTCAGTTCAAGTCCTATTGGTCATATACTTACCTCACAAAACAAACCTCATCCCACACACAATTGCCAGGATTCTCAACCAAGGTGGAACACAGAATGGATATTGAGACTAAACTCCCCTCTCACCCCTGTAGTTCCTGCTTAGATTATTTAGCCTCTACTTGTACAAAAGCTAAAGCTATGGCACTATTTGAAAACATACTTAATTTCTGCAATCTGGGTTCCAATGTCCATGACACTGTGCAAGACGTTACTTATAATAGCTGCTGTGTTTATTTACATAATTATTGCACTACCAGTATTTAACTCATTACTTTTTAAAGCACGATGGGATACCCAGAGTATGAAAAGAATTGTAAAGCCTAAAACCAATTTCTACTCTAACAGAAACTGGATAGGTTTGTTTTATGAACTTTAAACAATATCAGGGAACTGCATGAAGAAATCATTTTTCACTCAAATGCATTTTAGAATGTAATTTAGCCAGCTGTTAGGCAGAATTATGCCTGAAAATTAAGCTACCGGTTTCAAAAGAAAATCATAAAAGACCTGGTTGACACTGCAATCAGTCATTTCTAACCTAAGCCACCTGCAACCTAAGCAAAAGAAGTTGCTAAATCACTTTCTTATAGAATTTTCTAATCCAGCAATATTGTACATCATCTTCCCCGTGATTAGATGGTTAGCTGTGCTGGATAGGGTAATTAGAGCACTTCTGATGTTATCACTGTAGGAACTCACCTTGTTTTTGGATTCTTGAGAGGGTGAACGATTTCCATTTCCCATCGTTATGGTTTTGGTTGCCAACAGCAGAAGTTGTACCTGAACCTAGATCGTAGCTGACTTTTATATGCCCATCACTGAGCTCTACGCTCATGAAATCTTTCTGTTAATGAGACAGATTAGACACATTGTTTAGACACACTGGAAGACTGGTTCCTGTTCTCTGTGATAAGCAATATTTAACATGAAACAATTGTTTATTTTCTGAGTGACAATGTACAGGGTTTTTATTTAAGTTGTTAAACTCCTCAGATATTTATTGTCCCTAACTTCAAGTACACTGAAATGTACTGTCAAAGAGTTGTTTTCTTTACTTCCTACCTTCTTATGCAGGTCACCGGCTAAACTGGTGGGCTGTCCTGCAATTTCTCTCTAGTCAGTGATATACCCCAAATGGAATTGGGTAGTTCAGTTTGCTATAATTCCTATCAACCACTGGTGCTGATATTTAAATACCCTGAAGTTGTAGCATTGGTGGCTGACTGGAGCTGTGGTACAATAAACTACAATATCCAGGGCAAACAAAGGCTGGTAGGATGCAGGGGTGGGTGGGGGTGGGGGGGAATTTCTAGCTCACGAGGGAGCCAGAGACCAGGCTAATGGAGAAGGTAGGACTTGAGAAATGGGGAACTACTAATGCAGGGGCATTTAACCATCAGAGAAGTTTTAATTTTAGTACTTGTTTCTCTCATGGTGCTCCTACCAAACCTAGTGTGAGCCCACATTTTAAGAGAAATGATTTCATGGACTACCTGTGTTTCCATTGTATGGCTCGCTCACACACCCTCCTACTCACAACTGCAAAACATCCCTAGAGCAACTACCATAGTTGCTTACATGAAAAAGTAATCTTATGAAAATAATGTATTTTTGGCTCTTTTAATGCAGTTCAGTGACTGGAAATAGGCCAGCACAATGTGATCAGCCAATGGCACATGCCCACTAGTGTTTTGCAATGGTTCAAGAAACACAGTTCTGAAAGCTCCTGTACTGAAGATCACAATCCATATTAGAAGGATAAAGTGGGCTGGATTCTGTTCTCAGTTAGGATGTTGTAAATTTGGAGCACCTGTACTAGAATTCACCAGACCTACTTCAGATTTACATCAGTGTAAATGAGATCAGGATCTGGCCAGCTGTCTTTAGGAATAACCTCTTCCTGCTGTCCACAGACCCTTGACAATGCAGACAACTGAAAAAGTTAACAACCTTAATAAACAATGTCTGAAATTATCCATTTCAGCTGTAGTGTGAGAACATTAACTAATTTTTTTTAAAGAAATGCCAACATCACATTCTGTTGGCTGTTCCATACATAGTTTCCCTATTCTGCTGCTCACATTGGGCACAAAGCATTCTGTACTCAGTCCTTTCTTATGACTATCCATTTCCTATATTTTAAGCGAACAAAAAATTTACCATAACTGGGGGAGGAGGGGGCGAGAATCAAAGAATTCTGCTAATTTGAGCATTTCAAAAGTTGAAGTAAAATCTTGGCCCCACTAAAGTAATTGACTTCCATGAAAATTGACCCTTGACATTTTCCCCACATGAACACACCGCTGCTCCCCCTCACCCCTCACATCCGAACACAAGAAGCTGGTGGGTTTTATGGCTTGTGAGTTGTGGAGTCTGAAATGATTTGTATATGAAAATATTCAAGCATGATAGGCAGACTCCACAACTCCCAAGCCATAAAACCCACTAGCTTCAGTACTGAAGTGATAATCAGCACATTTGATTTTTAATTTCCATTTCTCCTTTTGAGTAACAGGTATTCAGTAATTTTAACGATAGCATGAAACATGAGGAGTTTTTATTTTTTACCAAGTCATGTGTTGCAAGGTACATCAGCAGAGCACTAGAAGAGAAGGTCTTGAACTTGAACATGACCATAGAAACATTGGGGTTCCAGCGGACTGGGCGGCTCACCAAAGCATAACCATCTCCATCAAACTGAATAGTTCCTTCACTGTCTGGCACCTGTGGGCTATAAAAGAATGGAATTTCTACCAGTTTTTCTGGCTGCTTTGGGGTAAAAGGGAACCATGGGAATTTGAGGGAAGCCAAATTTTATACAAACATGTTTTCTGACACCTGAACCCTTAAACTCAGTCCATGTGATGTGGAAGGTAGTCTAGGAGAAAGACATGGGACATGTCTGCCTTGTGTATTTCATGGTCCATATAATTTCATCTTACATCTTTTATTGGAAAAGATTCATGACAGTATTATGTAATCATATTATTATTAAGTGATTTTAATAGGTGTCAGATTGACAGCCCTGGAGACTGAAGTCCTCTATTTTTCACAGATGACATACAGCACAAGAACAGCAGTGTCAGTCTCCCCACACTGTTCTGCCACAGTGCCTTAACTCTGTTAATGTCAGAGACCACAGGTCTTGAGCCCTGGGCCATGGACTTTTCAGAGCTAGTAAGCTCCAACCTGCCACCCAGTGACTTGCTAAATGTTGTCAGACTAGGAGCTGAACTCTGACCAAGGACCCCAGTCCTGGAATCTGATTGCTGGGCCTCCTGGTTAGTTCACAGCTTCTATATAAACCACGCAGTGGCACAGACAGCTGTCTGTGAAACTGGGTTCCCTCTGCTTGAGACTGCTTTCCCTGAGACACCTGCTTCTACTGCCTGCTGCTGATCTCCTGGTAACCTGACCCTGTCTACCACCTGACATCTGATTCTTGGTTTGGCCTGACTCGGACTCTGATCTCCTGTTATTGGACTCAGCCTGACCCCCAACACCTGCTCCGAACACTAGGTTAGACTGCCCACACCATGGTCATGACAGTTAAGAAGAGACCATGTATCAGGGAGAAGATAGTTCAGTTTACCTTGCCATTCAAATAATGGCTTCTCATCTGAGACTTCCAACAAGAGACACAATTAATGGCAACTTTCTATGGTGGTGATTTTTGTGATGTGGATTCTTGCCCACTCTTGTCAGACAGACAACCAGTGGCTTTTGGTCACTACTGAGTTCATCTAGATTTGAACCAGTGATCTAGAGACAAAGAACTGGCATGCATAGGTCCTCATGCAATGTTTCATTATGCATACTGTTCCCTCATTTTTACATGCAAAAAAGTACCTTGGATTTAGATTTCTAACTCCTACATAGCCATGTTTAATGGCAAGTTGCTCCCAAGTATATTTTCCAGTAATTTTATGTGATTAATTCAAAGTTCTTATTGTAAATTTGCACTTTCCTATACATTCCTAAGCCCCAACATTCTTTTTCATTCCTTATCTTGATTTCCAATCTAGCTGTCCAGGATTATCACCAATGTGTTTGAGAAATGAGATTATACTCCATTTTGGCTTGATCCAAAAACCAGTGAGGTCAACAGGAGATTTTCCACAACTTCAATAAGTTTTGGAGCAATATTTTACTATGCTCAGCTCATGGCACTCTCTCCCCATTAGTCTATTGAAGGTATTGCTAATCTCCTTCATGAAATGGGGGACACACACTCCCCCTTGGCATTATTATAATGTAATTATTAATATTCCTTTTAATTCATTGATTAATGTGCAGTAGGCCACATTGTACTTGCTTACTTACATGGCTGTGGCTGGTGTAGATATTCCTATTTTACTCCACAACAAAATGGAGCATGTTCACAGATAGGTTCATAAAGGGTGAGGAACATAAAAAGAAGCCAGTCCATTACCAACCTGATAGCACATCCTTTGCAGTCACCCTTTGTGTCCCTGAAATTCCACAGTCCTATGGGCTTGCTGTCCAAGTATGTTTCACCCATGCAGCCAGTGAAGGTAGTGACTCTTACAGCATCTGATTTCTGCAAACAGGAAAGTATGGAACTTGTTAGAATGCACCTTGAAGTGATCTGCTATCTTCTAAAGCATAACTGTGTAATGGATACAGGAAAAACGGAAAGAGACTGGGGATTTTTAATGAAATATCATTCTTATTCCACAAATTCTTTTTTTAAATAAGTGGCAGGTCATAGATGAGCTACTATGGGAGGACAGTAGGACTGGAGAGGCAAGATATGTAAGATTAGGGAAAAGATCTGGGCACAGTAATTCTTGGTTCTCTTCCTGATCCCACTGCCCCACCTGCCTCCCCAGGTATACATGATAGTTACTATCCTTCCACCTATGGAAGACTCTCTTCAGAGTTTATCGGTGTTTTTCCCTTACAGATCATGGTAGGGACTGTGTGTAATCTCCTCCACAATATGGCAAATGTGCTGTTTCCACTTTATATTCATTCCTTGAAAGCCTGGTAAGTGAAAGACTGGAAACAAACCAAGTTAGCATAATGAGCATCACTAACCCACTTTGTTAAACCTGGAAAAAAATCATTTAATTTTGGAATTTAAAAAAATTACTCATGACAAAGCAAAATTAAACCCTGAAATATCAAAAGCCTACTAGGCTAGGGTAACACAAACTGCTCGGGGTCTTGCTGATTTTATCTAACTGAAATTAACATGAGACTATGTTCAGCTAATATATGAAAGAGCACAGAAATCTCCTCTCAGTTCATCCTTCTAAAATATCTAATTTCATTTGAAGTTTTGGTTCAGTATAAGCTGATTTAAAATCTATGCATTTAGGAATTTGCGACATGCAAGACCTGCTGCTTTCTATGAAGCAGTTATTAATATTAAGAATATTAATCTGTAAGATCATGGAGAACAGCATATTGAAAACTTTCAAGGAAGAGTCTGATTTGAAAGTCTTAATGTGGTGGTGATATTTCCTGGGGTAATCATAAATGTTTTAATTAGCAACAAGTATAAATTTACTGTCACTTATGAGAACTTCATGATGTCTAAGCAAGATAAATGATAGATGGTTTTTAAAACTGAAAAGGAACATTTTATAAACATTGCAGGGCAGGAAAGTGATATGAAAGAAGCTGAGACATACACACAAAAAGGGATTTCGTACTATATCCTAGGGCAAATCTGTGACGCTGTCTGATCACCCGGACTGAGACCCAGTGAAATGAAATATTAGATTTGTGAGCAAGAAAGAACCTTTTAAAGTATCATTGACCTTGATGAATGTCCAGATAGTTTCAGCTTTTTATACAAGCTGCTCTATGACAAGCTAAAGTTTTTGCAAGACTTCATCTTGTCTAATTAACAACTAAACTTACCTACAGAGGAGGATGCAAAGTTGTTATTGCCATGTTGGTCCCAGAATATTAGAGAGATGAGGTGGGTGAGGTAATATCTTTTAGTGGACCAACTTCTAATGGTGAGAGAGACAAGCTGTTGAGCTTAAACAGAGCAATTTTTCAGGCCTCACCAACAGAAATTATCCAATAAAAGATATTACCTCACCCACCTTGTCTCTCTTATAGAGGAAAATCAAGATTACAGTATTCTCCTTTATTCACAGACTTTGATAGACTATAGTTGAAATGTTGAACACCGAAAATGTTGAATTTTCTGACTCTTAAATATAACCTCAAAACCCAACAGTCATGCCAGACTACTGTTCTCAACCCTGGTTGCCAGGGTGAAGGATTGATGTCAAGATAGCCCTGCTAGCAAGAGAAGAAACTAGATCTATTCAAAAACTTTTGCCAAAATCTCATCCTGGGTAGGACTCTGTCTCAGTCAGACAGTCTTTGGGGTTTCCACTTCTATGCCTCATGCTGATGAGTGACTGGGACTTTAGAGTCCCCAGTTCAGAAAGCACATGCTTTAAGTTAAGTGCCTAATTGCTTCCACTGCACATCTGCCTTTTCCCAACCTTCCTAACTTGGATAAAACCAAACCAAATATCAGCACTTATTTTTCAGTTGTATTTTCAGATTTAAACCCTGCTAAGTGTCAGAACCTTTTAATCTCTCTTGGCCCATCAAGATCAAGATCCTCCTGTGATTCTACTTTATATTTTTAATCCTTTCTTTAGTTTTTATATGGTACATAGTTTATAATGCATCATTTGCAAGTTATTCTTGTTTTGTCCAGCAAACACATTAAATACATTAGGGAAGGAAAGAGTATATACATGACTAGTTAAACTAGTTATGATATCAATAAAGTTTAATATGTTATAGCAATTATTAAATATTGTATGCAGTTGGAATATTGGGTAACAACAGATATCCTAGTTAAGTGACAGTAGCATATTCTCAAGATACTATCAGTACATTGTGATCAATAGTTTCCATTAAAAAGTCGTGATTGATAAATTGAGATCAGTCTCTTAGATGAATAGCTTTTAAATAATCTTTTCTATAAAGAAAGACATCTGAGGTTTTACAGCATTGCTGCAGAAGATAATACCAAGTACAAACATTATTTAATTAAATGAACTCCTCTTGCATTGGCAGCCTTTGGACAGTGCTAGTCATTTCTGCTTCTAAAAGCTGTATAAGATGGCACAGCTGCAGTGAAGACTCTGACAGCTTTTCCACAACAGCCTTCCGATTCTCCAGACTTTATAACCTAGACATCAACTTTTGTTTCAAGCTGGAATGTAAGTCAAAGGCTCAGTCTGGGAGTATTTTTCCCCCTCCAGATTTATGCTCAAAAATATATGTGCAGACATTTTAAAATGGCAGAGCTGTACAAATAAAAACAAACTAGTGTGAGTGCTTGACTCACTTGTGCTTTCATAGCTCAAAAAAAAATCGGAAATGAACTAAAACCATATACTGAACTTTAGTTTTTAGTTTTGTGCCACAGCTTTGAGCACTGTTGGCTGACAGGCCAAATATGCTGGCCGAGGGGCTTTTGAAGTCTGTTGATGGCTTTTCAGTTCTGGCAGAATGTAAACAGTGGATTTATTTTAAATTAAAACTTCTAGGTCCAATTCAGGAAAACACCACTAATTTAAGCATGCTGAAATCCCATCTAAGTTCCTAGGACTTCAGTTCATGCATAGGGAAAGACTTAAGCATGAACATGATTAAATGCTTATCTGAACCAGGGTCCTAACCCTTGTGACCTGACCCAGATGTGCTGCTGTCTAATTGCATCTGTAGCCAGACTGACACCATGGGTCAAATTCACTACTGGTACAGACAGAAGCAGTTCTACTGACTTTAATGAGGTTGTGTCTAATTGGGGGTTTGATGATTATGGCTATGTATCTGAAAATTGAGTACTGTCTCCATTCATCTCAATGGAGTGATACTCTGAAGCCTAATATGAGCATTGACATCACAACATTATTAAATACGTTACTGCTGAGCATTAATTCAGAAATATCCAGCTAATATGTTTATCCATCATGGCTGAACACCATAGATATTAGATACTAGGGAAAAAGCCGTATTAGGTGTGTGATGTACCACCTGTAGCCTCTGGACACTCACTCTCTCTCCCTGAAGGAGCAGAGTATAAGCAAGAGAAAATATAGGGAAGAGAGGTAGTGAGTTGCTATGCTAAATAGCCAGATAGATTTGGCAGGGGTTCAGCAGCTGGTAATTGTGGAAGGTTCAATACTCTCTGCAAGTTTGAAGCCCCCTCTGGACTTTTAGTAGCTGGCAGAATATTATTGTTGGGTGTTTGCTGCAGGCATTCTTGTTTGTGGCTCACAGGGAAAGCTTAAATCTTTCTTTTCAGTGGCTGGAAAAGCAAGGAGATGGAAAGCAAGCTAGAGCCACCATTTGCAGCAGCTAGGGAAGTATGGGGAGAGAGGGTAGCAAAGGCAGTTGTCTGTCACTATACGTTTTTTCAGATATCTTCAGTGGAATTGCCTTTCCTATTTTCTGATATGCAAATAAATGATAAAGAACTGACTGTGACAGTTATTTTTCCACTTAATGATTCAAGAAGAAGCTTCAAGATTTATTTGATCAACAGTTCAGAAAACTTTCAAAGAAGAATAAAGTTTGCAGGTTGTTTGCAGACCCATTTTCAGGTAAAGCAGAAGGAGTTTAAATCAAAGTTCAGCCAATAAGGATTGATTTACAATTCTCTAATCCAAATCTCTTAAAATAATTTTTCTGAATTTCTACAAATGCTTGTCAAATGTCTGATATTCAGAGTTATGTTAGACAGCTGCTATTTATGCAAGCCTACGGCACTCTATACATAAAAAATAATAGCAATTAACTGAGTATTTTAGAATTAGGACTTCAGAAAACAGAACTTCCACCCAACAAGCAATTCTGATATTTCAACATTTGCTTTCATCCCAAAAAATTGAAATAGTCAAAATTTTAGTGAAACAAAGTTCTGAAAATTTATAGTTTGGAAATGTCTAAATAAAAAAAAACTCAACATTTTTGACTGAAATGAAATATTTTGTTTTTAGACATTGACATTTTTGCCATTTCAAAATGTAAAAATATATTTGAAACTAAACATTATTTCAAGTTTTCCTGGAAATTGGAAAATTTCATTGAATGACTTTCCTGCAAAACATTATTTCACTAGAAAATATTATACTTCTTAATTTAATTAATACTTATTTTAATACTTCCTTTGTTGGGAAATTTTTACTGTAGACAAATTTCAACCATCTCTACTCAGAATAAATCTCACTTGCATTTATATCTAAGTTAAGTGGATTCCTGGTAACTTACCAATGCAACCCAGGTGCTGCAAATATTGTGCACCACCTTCTGTTGTAGGCAAAAAATTAACTTCTTATGGCTCTCATGATATTAATATCTCTCTTCCTGATCCCTATCCTGAATCCCTTGGAGCTGGAGGCACTAAGGATACAGAAGAGCACCCACAGGAAAAGACTAGGAGGAGGAGCCAACATAAAGGAGAATGGAAGGTGTCTCAGACACATTGAGAAAATGTCAGCAGCTGAAAGAAGAGGGGTTCTAGAAAGGATTATGAGGAACATGCCACTGTCCAAATGAGAAAAAGATAAAGCAAAAAGCAGATTAGCATACAGAAAGGAAGAGGAGAGACTCAGTGGAAAGGACATGGATTCATAGAATTACTACACCCTGTTATGGGGCTAGTATTGTTTAGGAGCTTAGCTTGTGTGTGTGCTTGTACAGCACCTAGCACAACAGGGCCTAACTTGGTTGCAGTGTTTAGGTGCTGTGTTTAGGTGATGGGGTGTACCAACCCCACACAGGGTTGAGAGCCTGTAGGTGCAATCATCCTCGCCCCACTACACCTGCAGTAGGTATCAAGCCAGGAGGGAGCAGTTAAAAGGGCTGAATGTGGCTCAGTTAAGGACTGACCTGGAAGGCGAGCAGATCTCTGGCTCTCACTCAGTAAAGAAGCCTGGCTGGAGTCTGAGAGCTGAGCTGGGCTGCTAGCAGATAGAAGATAGGTCTGCAACAGGGAGCCCAAGGGAGTTGAAAAAGAAAGCAGCAGAACATGAGTCCATGCTGGATTCTGTACACTGGTGGAGGGGTGGGAAGGGTGTAGAAAGACTCCTACAGATTCAGGGATTGCCCCATGAGGGGAGTGGAGAAAACTCTTCTGCAGCAGAACCAGCTGGGTAACAGAAAGTGCTAGAAGGCTCTGCAGAGAGAAGGCTTACCAAGAACAGAGCTGATACATGAGAGCCCAGGAAAAGGCTAAGGAAAAGGAACAAGACAGGGCAATGTAGGAAGTGGTCTAGGGAGGTCTGTGCAGTCAAGTATGGACTGCCTATTTAAGGGTCCCTTGACCAGAACCCAGTAGAAAGGGATGGCCTAGATTCCGCTACCAGCCCACGGAGAAAGGTGCGGCTGAAATTCCCTGAGAATGGGTAAGGACTATTGAAACCCCCTGACACCAGGGGTAAGGACTAGTGAGTCTGGAGTCTGACTGCAGGTCCAATGTGAAGTTGACCAACTATTATTTGTGCGACTAATGGTCTACCCTGGAAGGGGTGGGATTCTATGTGACCCGGATGGAGGGCCGAGTCGCAAGAAGCAGCAGACCATCACTGGGACAAAATAGCTTTTGACAGGGGGCACAAAAGGAGAAAAGTCTGCTATGCCATGGTCAGTCACTAGGGAACCTGTGCTGGCCAGCAAGTCACATGCTTTCACTACAATAAATATATATTCATTAATTATAATAGCAGGCACTGCCTATGTAAATAACTGAACCAAAGGATTAATGCACCAACAGTGAGGAAGTACATTACCTTAATTTTATCAGTTAGACCACCAACAAACAGCACGGCATTTGCATCTACATCCAGAATTGTATAACCAGGTGGAGAGACTGCGCTGAAGGTACTTGGCATGATGGTTGCTTTGGGACCATCCAGAGCTTGTACTGAAATTGTGCCATTTCTTCCAGTCCTTGGAATTGGACCAAAGCAAATAAATAAGTAAATAAATCTGCTGTTAAACCACAACAAATAAAGCCTCATATTTTCCAGACATCTTTTACAAGTGACAGGCACTACTGGTCCATTTGTAACTTGGTATTATTCAGTTTTTAATACAAATCAATAGAGATTTCTTAGCTCTCATATACCTGTGCAAGCGCCAAATCTGATCACATAACAGATGTTTCTTCTCACCTCAATATCCTCACTGAATATAATTCACTATATGTATGCATTACATGGTGAATTCACCCACTAAAATAGTAATTATCAAAAGTGAAAATTCTCTATAACCAAAATAGTACAGTGTAATTGTATCTTGACAACAAATGAAGAAGGCTATGATTCAAATTCATTTCTGAACTTCATATGGGGTATTTGATTAATTTTATTCCTCTGAAGTGGATGATCATATAACAAAGCCCTTTAATTTACTTCATTGTAATGCAGGAGACCTGCATCCTCCACAAAGGAGCTCTCTGGTTGATTATTGTACTCAGGCACAAGCCCTATTATGTTTAAAATGGCTGCCTTGTTGTGTTTAAAATTGCCTTTTTATATTTTAAAATATGATTTGCTGCTTTGTGGACAGTTTCTTCAGTGTTTCCTGTTTCTGTATTCAGAGTAGGAAATAAATGCAGTACGTCAGATATTGATGTGGTAACTGTTGTCCAATACTTACAGCTTAATGGAAACCACTTTATGAACCTTTGCACGATAAGGTATGACCTCCCCCATAGCCTTATGAAAAGGTTATTTCAAAGGAAAGGTTAGTTTCCTATTAATTTACAACAATGTCTCAATATTGTACCTAAAGTATGACCTTTTGGATTTTACCTTTGACCTTGAATTGTGACATGTGAACTCCTCCTACATTATTAAGAGTTTTTGTTCATGCTAAAATCATTGGAAAGGTAAATCCCCTAGTTTTACAATTAGATCTTGATCAAAGTCATGATAATGTGGGCATTCTTAATATGGGCATATGATCATGCAATCCTAATACAGACTGAAATATGAATTCATGGAACATATTTAACTTATGTTACCTTTGATTAATTGGGAAACATACTGCTTTTACTACGACTTGTCTTTTTCTTATATAACAGTCCACACATAATTTCACCCACTGCTGCTTACTTCCTATATCTGTCAAGAATTACTACCTAGCTAATTGAATAATGTTTAGCTATTCATCTTCTGTATCTTTGTGGGCTACCCTATTGTACTCTAAAAAATAATTCCCTGTTTGCAACAAAGCTAAATTGCCTTTTCTTAGAAACCAGAACTGATATTTGCATTTCTGATACAAGAGAGTTTCTGGACAGACAGAGGTAATAAGATTACATTTCACCTAACGCCTTGCCAGGTAGCATTTCTAGTTTGAACAATAGCCACTGGCCCCACCCCATATCATGTCTCAGCTAGCAAATCAAAACTTTACTTTGGTTTTTACAAAGTATCATGAAATTGTCTGGATTTAAACATATAAATTCCATCTTTTCTCATTAAAAGAAAAGAAAAGATGTCTGTGAGTGATGAAGTAAGCAGTAAACCTAGAGTTACCACTTAGAAAGAGCTGTCATTAGCGCTATCTAATGTTTTACTTCAGGCCCACATCCAAAATAAAGCAATGAAGCCTGTACATAACTTTAGGTACGTGAGTAATCCCATTAATGTCAGTGGGACTACTTTTGTGTTTAAAATTACACATGGGTTTAGGCACTTTACTGAATCTGTTTGTGTTGGAGAGGGATGAGGAGGGAGAGCAAGACTCCTGTAAATATATAAATCTGATTTCCATTGAAACTCTGAATTGTATTACCTCAAAAATACATAGACCTTTGGCTTATATACCTAAAAGAGTAGAAATAGTCAGTACAGGAACTGGTGAAAGAATAGTGTGAGTATAGGAGAGACTTTTATTAAGCCATTCATATTTGGAGGCTATTGAAAGATAATGTTTGGTGCTTTCAAACTGTAGTGTACTACAATCAATATTCAGTAAAACCAGAGTAAAAGACCAAATTCAATAAATCTGAAGTAAATGAGCAGAATATGGTATACATTTTTAAGAGCACATGTCCTAAATAGCATAGGGAATCTTTGATCTTCAACTAGAGTAAAGTGCTAACAACAGATCCTCCTCCTTAAATAACTCAATCTTTCATTTGAGAAGGGCTAGTGAGCTTTAAAGGAAGAACAGTTGACTGACTTGTCAGAATAAGAGACATTAATAGGATTTGAATGATAATTTGTAAGTGACAGCTGGGTTCCTATGAGATACTTCGCAGACTGGAGAACATGTACCAGCACGTTGGTAACTGACAATCTGAAAAATGCACACTACACTATTCATAAACACTTACTAAAGAGATATATGGAGCAAGTGGGCTTCACCTTGCATTAGCCATCAACATCTGAATAACTTTTGTAGCACCACATATAAATACTTGCTCTTTGACCCACTTGAGAGGGGAGTTACAAGGAGCAAAGTGGGCTGACAGTAAAGTGTATGTGCCTAAAATAAACATCTCTTTCTACAGCTGTTCTTCCCCAAAGGAAGAATATTCCAAACAGAAAGTTAAGGTTCCCCTTAATGGAAAAGACATTGTTTCAACCTTCTCAGCAAGATTTCTAAGGAATAATAATGAGGTGGTATGTAAACGGTATTTGAGTAAAACAAAAATTAGACTATGCCTGATTCAAAACCCACTGAAGTCAAGGGGAATCTTTTCATTGACTCTGTTGGGCTTTGGATCAAGTCTTTATTGCATTTGACTGTATCACAGAATTGACTGCTTTGTGTATTGATAACTTGTTTAACATGATTCTCATACAGTAAAACTTTATGTAAATTTTGCCTTCTTTTCAGTGTTTTCATTGATCAGGATTTTTATCCCAGTTAGTTTTTACCTTTACAAGTAAATAACATTCTCATAATATACATAACAGTCCCTGCACTGGGGAATACCAATGGAATAACATAAGTACTTTAATTACTTGCAACAATATTAAGTTTTCAGGGTGATATATATATATATATATATATATTCACACACACATACACACTGTATATGTGTATATACATACTGTATGTGTATTTATATATAGACATACTTTAAACATATACATAAACATAGAAAAGTACTGCTAGACTGTAATTAAGAAAATATTCTGCAAAACGTATGCAGTCATTACTGTACCCATCTGACAGACCGGGAAACTGTGACTCAGAGGTTAAGCAAATTGTCCAAGCTAGAATCTGCCGCAGTCTCCTGCTCTAACCACTAGACATGCTGTCTCAAAATGAGAGAAGGAATACCTCCTTCCACATCTGGATTTTATTCCCCACTCTGCTGAGTCAACTTGAACAACTCAGTTGTCTTTGCATGTCAGTTTCTGCTCTTTCTAAAATGTGTTGGGATCCCTGGATAAGAGGTGCTATATAAATCTAAAATTGCAACATTATCATTTGTGTGTGTATGTAAGTATATACACGCCTACAGAGCTGCTTTCATGGAGAGAAGGGGTTATGGCTGATAGGAGTGGGATATAAATATCTTCCCCATCCCATCCCCCAGTGCATGTGCAGGTCTGCCCCCTCTAATGAGCCAGTGTCTTCCAGTGCTCTTTTGTTCAGCTAAGTGACACCCACCTACCCCCACTTCCTGACCCTTCCTAGAGACCCAAGGCAGTGTGTGTGTGTGCATTATCTTCTTCCTCTGCTCCCCAGACAAAGTCCCAAAGCTTCAGAGGTTGCGGGGAGCCCACTAGAGGACCAAGTATCCCCACCACTGGATATTGTGTTAGTGGTGTCAGGTAAATTCAAAAGTATGCAGCTGAATCTGGCCAAAATTTAAAGACAAAAGGTGAGAAAGTGAAATTGGTGGAACTGGTTTGAGACCTTTATCAAGGGAGACAAGAATGCTATTAGTGATACAATAATGATGCAAATTAAAAGTCTTCAGCATGTGCTCCCTCAATTCTACTTTAAGAATACAAAATCAGTCCTTCATCTTCATCGTGATCCTAAAAATTCAACTAGTGTCTCCATAATCTAATCCTTCTAAACACTGCTCCACTCCTCAGATTTGTGCTACTGTAATTGCTTCCCTTGCTGATTTAGCAGTTTGTTCCAGTTGCTTTACATCTAATGCCCTATATATCATGAACAACAGCTTAATAGGCAATGTGCATTTGTAGGATGTCTATATCATGTCCTGACTCCATTTTCTGCTGAAATAGTTTTCCTGCAAATGAAGGTCCTGTACTACTGTGACATGCAGCTATTTCAGTATGTGTAATATGAACGCAGACCGCACTAACCTGATGAAGATCTTGCATAAGTATCCCAATTTGTGTTTTCCCAGATATAAGATTTAATTGAGCCAGCAGTTGGACACTCTGCCATACTTTTATTTATGTCTCTGCTTTGAATGGCTTATTCTGTGATTTCATTAAATTGTTTAAATTGAACATCATTTCCCTCTTCTGAAAGCTATGGACAGAATAGAAATTAAAACTCCTATTTTTCCTTCCTGTCTCATTTGATGACTATTTTAATCTTTTGTGCGTCTAACACTATGTAAAATTAACATATTATGATGGGACAAGATTTATTCAAATTAGGATTCATGTTCTCTCTCTGATTTCATTTGATCTGATATTACATAAATTATAGGGGTTTGTTCCTCACTAGCAAATAAAGGACACATCATATACATAGTACACACATGTAGCATAGTTTGCTATTAAAATATTACAGCTCCCCATGCAAATAGTTAGTGCTGACATGATATTCTTTATGCACAAAATACAGTGTTCCCTATGCTAAATGCAGTAATGTTATCCACTTGCCAAAGCAAAAATTGTAAAGATTTTAATAGTGCCTACACTATGATAAATAGTATGCACAGAGATTCAAACACATCTAGTTTTTTTTAAACCAACCTATTTTTTTTTGCCTTAATTGCCGTACCAGATGGTATGCACTTCAGGGAAATACCAGTATAGTGCCTCTAAATATATGGATCAAGAAGCCAATGTAACTTTCAGCTATTAATTTATCTAAACTTCTAAAATTAAAAAACATTCATCACTTGCTTTTTTTTTTTTTCAAAATATGTAAAAAAATCTGTGTTGTTTAAACGGACCAAAATATTTTTAATGTTGATTTTTCCTATAAACCACATCTTTTCAAATGTTTTCAGCATGAAGAGGCATTGTGCCTATTAGATTGGCATGCTGAGTAAGAATCAGTGTACTGGGATGTGACAGGCCATCCATTCCCAATACTGCATCAAACCAAGAGGTTTTGAAAAGACACAATTCATTGAAAGCCAGAGAGAAAAACATAGTTTTCAGTTTGAGTGCAGAAATAGCCTTTAACTTTTAAACATTTTAAAAATGATGTTGTGCTAATAAGTAACTTTTTAAACCTTATCATCAATATTTATTTGTATTATAGTAGTGCCCACAGTACAGTGTACACACACATAAGATGACACAGACCATGTCATGAAGTGCTTACACTCTGATGAGCAAACGGACAAAAGGTAGGGAAGAGGAACAGCACATACAACTGCATTTTTTAGATAATCTATCCCAAAAATTCTTGTCTACCAAGCCACTGTTATTTGGCTAAATGCTTGTAGGTCTCATGGTAGAAGTGTGTCATAAGAAGCAGCTTGGAGGAGAGAGTTTGTCCCTTACTGATGTGTTGAGGAAAGGTGTTCCCAGCACAAAGAGGAATTTGAGAGAAGTGGAAATGGGGGTAAGACTGGCATCACTGACAGCATAGAGGCCTAGGGGTTCCACCTACAATACAAGAGTGGCTAAGGAAGGAGGGGCAAAGATGTTAAAGGAGATGACAAGAGCCTATAATATGAGGAGTAAAAAAGGGGAGCTTTTAGTAGTTGGATTTTGTGTGGACTGAAGGAGGAAGGGCAAAGAAGTACAGGGGTAAAAGCAGATTATGGACGTTAAACATGTGTAATACATTTCAGTAGCAGTCAGAGAGACACACTATGTAACACATTTATAACCTCTTTGGCTACAAACTCTCTGATAATGGACTATTGGACACAGGTTCAAAAATCCATTAAACTGGATTATATTTATCATCGTCAAAGGTACCTCTTTTTTAAAACTACTGTTACAAATGCTGTATTTAAGAATGTGACTCTGAAGAGAGTGGACCTGACAGATGGCTTGCTCAGTTTCATCATTTTTTGGGGGTAAGAACTAAAGCTTGCAAATTAATTGAGTACTTGCCTAGAGGCTTCAATACGGTACCAAAATGCATCATCAATGGTCAGATCTGGATACTCAACCCGTCCAACGCCAGATCCCACATCCCACAAGAAGTTCACCTTGCCTTTACGCATCTCTATGGCCAAGAAGTCAGTCTAAGACACAAAAAATAATCTATGGGTTAAGGAATCAAATACTTGGATTAGAACAATCCTTATAAATCCCTACCCTTTTAAGCTTCTGAAGATCATTAGTAACCTAATGGGCCTCGAGACCCATGCTCACATAACAAAATTTGTACAATAACTCCCAAGAGAGATCTAAGTTCAGACCTCCACCTCTTAGCCCCAGGTTCCCATCTTGCCAAGTGATGTGTGTCCACACAATGCTGGGTCACTGACTGTCTCTCTAAGTTGTTAACTGAAATACTATACAAACATTCATTTGGCTGGCAATCCTACAATGGAAAATATGAGCATTCTATACGTTAATACACACTGCCATCCTAAATCTTCATTTATAGTAGGAAAATAACACATAGCTCAGGATGGTAGGAAAAGAACACTTTTCCCATTCATTGAATTATTATTGATGGTTCTAGAAGCCTGTCTGCTGGAGGGCTCATGGAAAACTGAATCTTTCATCATTACACATTCCTGAAGTTATAGTCTTGACCTGAAGTCATATTAAGCAGGATGTTTGACAGATTTAGATGATTAGCTACTTCGTTCCCAAGGAAAAATACATGAGAAACAAACCAAAAGTCACCCCCGTTGTACTGCAGCTCTTACAGCTTTCATGCAGTTCATATAGGAGTCTCAGATTTGATTCCTAGCTAAAAACAAAATATTTCCCACCTATGTTATTTCTAAAAACCTACATTAATATACAAGGCAATATTTTCCCCTTCTTCTATGAGAAACAGTAACTAACTAGGGAACCAGTAAAACTCCCAGACTCTACGCTGTTTCTCTGAAGCCTCTGAGAAGAAACATTCTCCTCTTTTTTTTGTATGTCAGTTATCCAATTTGATTGAGAAACTCTGACAACGGAAAACTGAAACCACACTTACAAATTTGGCACTTCCAAGATAAAAAAGAAGGTTGTCAGCTACTGCAGTCTTCACATTGACAATGACAGTGTTGTAGCTTCCTTTCTTTATTTCCGGTCTGTATGTGCGAATGCAGTCACCTCCAGAAGCCACAGAGACTTTGATCTTCAAAGAAAACACAGCAGAGAGAACCCGAGTTACAGCTCATTATTCTAGAGAAAACTTTAGGGGCTTCAGAATAACTGCAAATGGATTTTGCTTTTGTTTCGTTTCTGTGTCACACGTATTACTGAGGAGTAGGCATTGGTGCTTGCCACTCAGTATCTGGAACACTGAAATGAGATTTCCTTGTTGAGTAGGACAGATTGTGATTAAGGGCAGTGGTAGCTTTACCTGGCATTCAGACATGACATCAGGAGGAAATTTATTTCATATTAAGAATTACTAGAGTAGATAATGGGGAAGCTGTGGTAGTTCAGGTGGTGGAGATATTCAAAAGTTGGCAGATAAAAGCATCATAGAAACACCACCTTGACCTGTATGGCTGCTCTATTTAATAAATAAATAATAAATAGTAATAATAAATAATAATAATAATAATACCTTGCTCTTATATAGCACTTTTCATCAGTTGATCTCAAAGCACTTTCTACCAATAATTGATTTTATAACTGCATGGTTCTTTAGTAGCCCCCAACTGAGACATTCTTCGCCACTATATATTCCAGGTTTCCTTGTTTTATATTAAGATTAGATTCCTTTTCCTGTCAGATGTTGCTAGTTCCATTTTAATGGATCCTTGTTAAGTCTTAAATACCATAATCGATTAGTGATGATTATAAGTTCCTTTGACATTGACTGTAATATTAATAACCATGATCAACTCATTAGGTATTAAGGTGAATGGCATACACACTGAAGAAGAAATTCGAAAGTAATTACGTGGATCATTTAATGGCTTCTGGATTCTTGGTATCAAAAGCAAGCAAACAACGCTTTCTCCAAGTCAACTTTCTTTTCTGGATACAGAAATGAATTAAAGCCCTGATGCTGAAAATCACTGCAGCACCTGCATAAATTTAAGCATCTGAGTTGTCCCACTGATGTCATTGTTACTACTTATGTCCTTAAAGTTATATAGGTTACTCGCTGGATTAGGGCCTACTTAGAATTCAGGTTTGGTGAGTTGAGGAAACCCAGTACCTCACTGAGGGCAGCAGAGAGGACTGGGTAGGGTCTTTGTGCGTGTCATGTGTGAGATATGTTTTGGGGAGCACTAAAAGTTTTGTTGCATTCATGCATCATTTAGTTTTAATCAACTGATATTTGTATTCCATATTTGTCTTATATGATTATAATAGGGTCCTACTGCAAACTCCAGACAAGGATTTAAAATACTAATTTATAAAATTTAACTATTCTGAAATATATCATGCTACATTCACAAAGGTTTAGGAGCCTGCATGCTTGCAACCATTTATATGTTTTATGAGAGCTTTTTATGAACCTGAAAAAAAACACTGAAAGGATAAAAGATCAAGAACAGTAAAAGAACATGGTTTACTGGTTAGCAAAGACAATCCAGAGATCCAGACTCATTTCTGGCCCTTCAGACATAGTGCTACGTGAATTTGGGCAAGTCATTTAATTTCCCTCCATGCTGGCTTTCCCATCCATAGAACAAGGATAACAATAGTGTACAGAAATTCTGAGAGGCCAAGTACTTTGAAGTCTTTGCATGAAATGTGTTATGTAGGGGAAAAGTATGACGATGATGATGATGAACCTGCCCTTCTGTCTTACCTATATTTCTATGAGAATTTGAAATGCACTTTATCAGATGGAGCAGACATGTCATGGCTCCATTATTGTGCATACATTCCTTTCAGCCACTTGTGCTCCAGAATGTTGGTTTTGTTTGAATTATACAGGAGCTTAACTGAATGTTCATCTCTTAGGATTTTCTTTACAGTTTTCCTGATTGTTGCAGGTCAAAAGCCAAATAAGTTTATTATTACTAGTTGATCCCTGAGTTTAAAAATTACATTGGAGATACAGACTTGGGACTCAGTAACCAGGTAAGGAAATATGCTCTTATCTCAAGCACAAGGGTCTATTAAATTATTACCTGGAGAAGTAAATATCAAGAAAATGGGAAAGCAAGTGCACTCTACATTTTCAGTTAGCTTGAGATGGTCCAACCAGGGGACAAAAAGCCGCCAAACTCATATGTTTCATAAGTAATGGAACTCCTACAAAATTAGGTTTTTAATATCTATGCTGAGGCAGAAAACATCTTTTTGGTATTGTTTCAGTATTAATTTGTGCACAACTATTGAATGAGGGACATTTTCTCCTCTGTGACCCCTCCTTGTACCCTTATCCATGTTACCCCCAAATTGTCCTGTCATACTAACATTCCTATAAGTATTCCCCATTCAACAGGGCTGTGTTGTAAATGGGGAGCAAACCATAGGGAAAAAGCAGACATCAGATACCCTGGGTTCTGTCTATCTAGATATTTATACTGCACTCTTTACCATAGGAATTTTGGACTGGGATGGCTTCTTTTGCTGGATGAAAGGATACAAACTACCCACATAGAGTTACTGAGAAAGACGTGCTTACAGAATTGGCCTGTTTCCGGGCTTGGTTTATCAGTTCTTTTATCTGAGAGATGTTTTTCCCCAAATTATCCTGAAGTTCTTTGACTGGTTTGAGTTTATCCAGTAGCCGATCTGCTTCCTTTTCTAGGGTTTTAACAGTGGCATCTGCGTCAGCAACTTCATATGAAAAAAAAAAGCAGAAATTTAGAAGGGAGAGTCTGATAAAGTGGACACAAACACCAATAGCAAAATCCAACAGAATTCTGACTGAAAATTCAGCTTCCTGAGACAAGCAAGGGGATAAGAACTTTAGGAATGTTTTTAGACTGATTTTAAAATTGCAGTATGAGGAAATGACAGCGATATGGCTCAATAGTTATGTCTGAGAATGGTACTGGTAGAAAAAACTGTGGTACAATACAGCTCCACATTTAGAGTTTACCTTTCTTCTTTATGCCTGCTTTAATGAAACATGTTGGATTAAAAGAGCAATTAATTAGTTATTTGCATAATAATTAGATAATTAATTTTTAACTTAGTTATATGGTCACAACTAGAAAATTTTTTATCCTGATCACAAGTTTCAGATTACCCCATGTGCGACAATAATTGTGATTAAAAATATTATACAGAATATTAGCCACTGTATATATTTTCCCATCTCTCAGATGAACTCCATTTGTTTACATAAGGATCTCCTCTCCTCCTTTCCTTGAGTCCTAGGACAACTGAAATTCCCTCCCACATACAGCCATTCAATAGTCCCACAGCTTTCTCTTGCCGATACGCCATACCGGACCAGACCGGACTGGCTTCCCCAGGCCGGCGATTTAAAGGGCCTGGGGCTCCTGGCAGCAGCTGGAGCTGTGGGCCCTTTAAATTGTTGCCCAAGCCCCGCTGCTGGAACCCTGGGGTAGCAGCAGCGGGGCTCTGGTGGTGATTTAAAGGGCCAGGGGCTCCCAGCTGCCGCTACTGCATAAGAGCCCTGGGCCCTTTAAATCTCCGCCAGAGCCCCAAGCCCCGGGATAGCAGTGGCAGCCGGGAGCCCCTGGGCCTCCGTTGGTGATTTAAAGGGCCCGGGGCTCCGCTGTGGTAGCGGCAGCTGGAGCCCGGGGCCCTTTAAATCACCCCTGAGCCCCAGGGCTCCCACTTGCCTCTGCAGCTGACAGCTCTGGGGGTGATTTAAAGGGCCCGGGGCTCCCAGCCACCGCTACTGCCTCCGGAGCCCTGGGCCCTTTAAATCTTGATTTAATGGGCCTGGGGATTTAAAGGCCCCGCCTCTTCAGGTTGAGGCCACACCTCTTCTGGTTGAGGCCCTGCCCCCTGCTCAGGACTCCAGTGTACCGGTAAATCCTTTAAGTTACTTTTACCCCTGTCTGACTTGCGTGGCAGCTGGAGTCCAGGAAGGAGAGTGTGTGTGGCTGATATAGTAGGGGAGCAAACCAGTAATACAGTAGGAAGGCAGCCTCAAAAAGTTTGTATAAGGTCCAAACAGATATCCAAATTTTGGATGTTTATTCAAACAGGATAATAAAGATATTTAAGGTTCACCCCTCGCTAGGCACAAGTCACCAGGTTCTTGAGAAAAAACAAGAGCGCCTATGTTAATCTCTTTCTTCTCACTTTCAGATACGGCATATTGCTTATGGTACATCCTGTGAGAATAATTTAAATCTTTAGTTCCATTGTTGCAGCATTTAAAACAGTAAATGTTCTAATGCAGCACTAAAATGTGGCACTATGCAAAAGCTTTTGCAGGAGGCAATGAGGCATCAGACACTGAAAAATAGCAATATATATACCACACACCCGCACGCATATATATAAGCTTTTGTGGTAGACAATGAGGCATCAGATATATATAAACACACATACACACGTACAGATTTCTGTAGGCAAGGTATAGAGACAAGAGAGAAACAAAAGAAAATATTGCAACATAATATTTTTAAAAGTCAAGTAACTTACAGGACAGGATTTGTTTGGAGAAACTCATTACCCACTACTCACCCCACAGCCAGAAATACACAACTAGAACTTAGTTATCAAACTTGGGCAGATTTACTGTCATTTAAACTGGATAAATGGGTGCCTAACTGCCAATCTGATCACTCATCCACGTGACTGAATTTAGGCTTCCAACTTTAAGAGACAGATCCTTTTGTCTTTTTGTTGAGACAACATGTTTCTGAACACAACAAATTATATTATATCTGGGATTTATTGAACTATGCAGCATGCTGCAATTTAAATTGTTGAACTTTTCCCATGAAACACAAAGGATCTTCCAGTGAAAATTCTAACATAATCATCACTATATGATAGCAGGAGTCACTTCAATGCTAAAATACAAGCAAACAACCTCACTGGAAGTCCATTTTAATTATTGTGCCTCTGAACTGCCTTTATGCTGTATAAAATGAATATATATGAATATATATAATGAATATAAAAGGTGTCATGAAGTGTATCCCTAACAGAACTCACTAGCTGATTAACCTAGCACAGGGGTTGGGAGGGAAGCTTTGATGAATCTAGAGGTGGAATCTCCAATCAATGATAGCTTCTTCGATTCTTCTCCCACCTCTATCCATTTAAGGAATAGTTTTTGGAGCAAATATATCCACTATGTGTTCATTCTGCGGCTGCTAGACTTTCTTCCTAGGTTACCAGCAGCAATCCTTTATATTCAAAAGCTTTTCCAACTTTAAGGCCTGTATAATAATATGGGGGCTATACAAAAAGGTTCCTATTACATCAGTGTACTCTAGTAAGATCATGTACTGAATTGTAACAAAAAAGTGATGTGCTATAAATCACATCATGGCAGCAGGGAAAGATCTTTCTTTTGAGGGAAAAAACATACAAACAAAATAAAGATCTTACTGTTCTTGGTGGAATCTTTCACAACTGCATTTGTTTTGGCCACATCATCTGCAAATTTGCTGTAGTTGTTCTTTAAACCAAGGAGGTTCTGGTTGAGGTCTTTAATCCTAGCCAGTACATCATTTGCAGTGGTGTTAGCTTGTCCAGCTTTATCTTTAGCTGCTTGCACCTTCACAGCTGTATCTGTGTGCAAGAAAGGATCAAAATGTCAGAGCAGTCGTGAATACAGATGGCAGAATCAGACCCTCTGTCTTTCTTGACCTGACAGTTGCATCTTTAAAAACAAACAAACAAACAAACAAACAAACAAACAAACAAACAAACAAACAAACAAACAAACAACAGAATATCCAGCCCTGTTTAAAAGTAGAGAATGAAACATCTTCTTAGCCAGATTAATTTTTCTACGAAACCTTTCCCTGTGCTAGGAATGTCTGATTAACCTTGAGAATGAAAGTGATGATCTTCAGAACCCATAGTAGGGGGGAGCCCTTTGATGTGTTGGTGAAGACAGTACAGAATATTAATCTACATGGTCCACATAACTCAGCTGCTGCTCTATAGTTTATGGTTACTTTGAAGTACAGCTGAGTGAAATATTTGTGGTAATAATATTTCTCATCAAAATGTGGCTCCTTACAAATTACCTGAACTGTGTGAAATTGAGCATTTTTTTCCTTTTGCAACAAAGTTTTGAGCGAGATGATTTTCACTGATAGGTGTGAAAATGTTGTGGAAGCTATTAGATATTATTGATTAGGAAAGGGGGGAGCTCTGTGGCTAAGGCACTAAACTGAGGCTCAGGAGATCAGAGTTCAATCTCCTGTTCCACCAAAGACTTCCTGTTTGACCTTAGACAACTCACTTAGGCTGCAATCTGTGAGGAATTCTGCTTCTTGAGGAAGGATACTGCCCAGAGCACCCTCTGGGTGGGCTGGTTCTGACAAGCCAGCTTTGTTTTGGAAATACAATTGAACCCTTTAACACTATAGTATTATTAATAATATTTTACAAGCATAAGAGTGGGATCTGATTATTTCTTTACCTATTTTTCCCCAAAGTGCCTGAGTGTATTCCTTCTGACCTCCTTGTGTGATGTCTATATTAGAATAATGTAAATTGAGGCCACTGTGTTGCTTTCCTTTGACATTTATTCATTGCATACCTTGTACTTACTTTTCATCACACTATAAAATACACTCTTTCCTAAGCATGTGGGTCCTTGTCCTAAGGTGAACTGCCCTCCTACTTTGATTCCTGCTGAGCTTTTTTTTTTTTTGTCAAGTCTGCATTATTGGTTCAGGCCATTCTGTTTTGCTGAATCTTTGATATGACGAGAGCAGTTTGCTTTTCCTTGTTAATTCCCCTGTTTGATAACCAGTTTACTACATTTTCCTATCTTTGACATTTATTTGCTACAGATTTTAGTCTTCGTTTTAATCATATTTACAAAGCACACCATTCGTGCGCTTGTGTCCTTGTCCCAAGAGCAAAAACTCTCTAACTCTAATCTACATTGCCATTACTTCATATTTCTTCTGCTTTCTTCACATTTAGTATTCCTAAAGGCGACGGCCTTCTGAGGTCCATTCTGCTTGATTGAGACATCTATCTGCACACAGTCACACCAGTAACTGTAGCAGTAACTTCACAAAATTAACTAAAGTGCGCATGACATAGCACAAAATCTCATGAATGAAAGATTTCAAGGATCTGGGTGAATAAAATATAAATATCTCCAGTTACGTGAAATCTGGAAGATGCAAAAATGTGTGAAATGAATTGGTGAAAAATATTGCACGGAGCTTTGTGTGCAGTCCATACTTCGAGAACACCACAAAATGGATAGATAATAACTTTTCTTTGGTGCAAATTTCCAGGGCATTTTTTCAGTTCATAACAACAATGAGCAGTTCTTTAGAGAGAACAGGCATGGCAAACTACATTCTGAAATAGATGATAGAGCTTTTTGGTTTTGTTTGAATGTTTTAACAAGCATTCAGTTTGTAAGTGTCCACTATAATGAAGTTATAATGTATTTCTCTGTCCCTTACTAGCACCACAAAAAGTATCAAATATATGGAGCTCTTGCATATTAATGAGTATGAAAGACTCTTTGCTATTAGTTATATAGTACCATAAGTTGCATAGCACTTTATGATAATAGAAGAAAGCCTGTCCCTGTCCTGAGGAACTTATAGTCTAAATAAGACACAGCACAGCAAGTAATGACAGAAGACAATGGTCTGAGGAGATGTGGGGAATAGAGGACAGATACAATAAATAAGGATCACACAGTTTTGTTTCTGAAGTTGTTAGGTTTAATTCAGATTTTGATCAATGTTGTGTTTTACTCTTCCTATTATTTAATATTATTGGGAGAAGAATGTCAAGCATGACAGCAGGAGCAGGTAACATAGCAGCAGAACTCAGTGGTGGACAGCTAATGAAGGAGGTGAATTTTAAGGAAGGAAAGTGAGGACAGATGGCACACTGGACCAGAAAGGCAGTTACAGGGACAAGGTCAACATGCAAGAAGGCATGGAGGCCCCAGTGTGAGAAAAAAGAGAGGGCAACAAGGTACAGTGTAGGATGTGAAAAGGGATGTCGAAGGCAAAAAGGAAACAGGTCAGAGCAAGGACAAAGTTGTGAGCCCCTGAGATGCTGAGCATGACACTCTTATGCTATTTTAGTAATAATTACTAGAGCAATCATTCATTAAGAGCTTGTCTACGTTGGGAAGTGATTGTGAAATAAGTTAAGGTGTGAATTAAAAGTGCAAAAGCAATTCCACACTAGCTCTCTGTGGACATTCTTATTGTGCACTAAAAGTGCCTTTGTACAGTTTAGCTTAATCCATGAACTCTTCAAGTGGAATAAGTGTCTATATAAGTGTCTATATAAGTGTCTAGTGCCGAATACTTATTCCACAATAGCTATTCTGAGCTATTTCCCCATGTAGACAAGCCCTAAGGTAAAAGAGCAACAGTTCATTAGCGTGTGTATATATTCTATTTCTGCATGTATCAATGTTTATATATAAAAAAGTGCAGGGCCATTACTATGGGACACACAATCATTTATTTATTTCACAAATGACACTGCTGGAAAAATGATATACTATTTACAGAATCTACCATGATTCACTGTTGACTGAGCAGTATTCTAAAGTATAGATGGACCAAAATGACTCAGTCATTTGGGTCTCTCTAGATACAGACTATCTGGAGTCCTTTGGGCAATTTGAGATTGTTATTTATCCCAGGTCTCTTTGAACTGATTGCTGATGCCGTTATCGTCGTTCTTACCATTCTGGGAAGCACTGTTCTGAAAACAGGTACTATCAGGGATGACTCTCAGCTTCTGAAAAAGACTGACTGGCTAACAGTATGCCATCACTCCTTTCCAGAAGTACTATCTTCCAGAAGTGGGCCATTTGAGAATGACAAAAACACAGCAGCCCCTACAAGCCCAAAATGCAAATGAACACCAGACATTTGTGTTCAGTTCAGTTTCCCTCTCATACACAGCATACATTCATTGTGAATGAGATAGCAGCCAATGGATGGAGTGTATGTAGACAAAGAATAACACCTATACACATTTTTATAAAGATGCAAGACGACACAATGAAGCACAGCTGAGCACAGTGCTTCAGCACTTTTTGTACTTACCTTTAGGAATGGCTGCCAGCTTTCCAAAGGTGTCATTCAAAGCTCTCAGGAGATCAGAATTCTTTTCATCAGCATTTTTCAACCTGTTCTGCATACTATTCAAGATATCCCCATTTTCTGCAGAGAGTACACATACAAAAAAGCTTTAACTCATTGTTTTCACTGTGCTGTGTTTATGTAACACAGACAGACCCTGGTCATCAGCAGGCAGGATCAAACCCTAGACCTCTGAAGTTTAGTGTATGAGTCTCTACTGCATGAGCTAAAAGCTATCCGGCTCTTAGCCAAGCCTGTAGCAGACTCATCAATCTGTACATGGTCTAGGTCGGGGCGGCCAACCCGAGCCTGAGAAGGAGACAGAAATTTAGCAGTGTACATTGCCAAAGAGCCACACTAATATTTCAGCAGCCCCCCATCAGCTCCCACCACTCCAACCTGCAGCGCCTCCTGCCCGCTGGCAACCCCACCAATAGGTGCGTCCCGCTCTCTCTCCATGCTTCCCACCCGCCGCGATCAGCTGTTACATGGTGTGCAGGAGGCTCTGGTGGGGAGGGGGGAGAGCAAGGGCACAGCAGGCACAGGGGAGGGGGCAGGGCCTGGGGCAGAGCAGGGGGTTGAGCAGTGAGCAGCCCCCAGCACATTGGAAAGTTAGCATCTATAGCTCCAGCCCCGGAGTCAGTGCCTAGGCAAGGAGCCGCATATTAACTTATGAAGAGCTGCACATGGCTCCAGAGCCACAGGTTGGCAACCCCTCGCCTAGGTGCCATCAGATGGGGACAGAGTGCCACACCAAGCAGGCATGGGTTACATTTACACATTCATTTGGTATGTACTGTAATAGAACAGACCATGAACAACCCATTTGTCATCAATATACATATATTTAATTAATTTACTAAGTTACTGCAATGAACATATGTAACACTCAGTTCCAGAGTTTACTAATGCTATCTTCTATATTTAAGGCACCTATTTCTTTTGTATCTAAGTGCTTGATTTCCTTAGACTATTGTATGGTGATACTTGGTGCTTATAGAGGGATTTTATTAAGGCTCTCAAAGTGCTTTTATGTACTCAACACTCCCGTAAGTACAAAATAAGACAGACAGAGGTTAACTGATTTACCCAAGGCCACCCAGTGAGTCAATGGCAAACCGGGCAGAGGACCCAAGAAGCCAAACTACCAGACCTGTGCTTTAAAGATAGGCAACATTAAACTTTTCTATGGTAACCTCACAAGTTCTTCTTCAGGTGTCTGCCCTAGGCTAATGGTTCATCCATTTTGTGTGACAAAACAATACAATCAGGGTAGTGTACTATCACCATAAGCATGCTATTTCCCAATTCTTGCTGGACTTTTTCAAAGTAAGGCAACAACTGCTGATACAATGTCCAGAGAAAGGGCATGAAACCATATTAGCGGCATCATGATCATTATTAGGAGGCTACATCAAGAAAAAGTTATCATGAAATATGCAGATTGATTTTTTGGAGGGACTTGTTTGTAGCTAAAAGCATATATCAAAATTTGTTTAAAGTGAAAAACTAGTACAAACCAGAGGATCAGCAATGTGATAATCAGTACATGAAAGATGAAACTGACATTATCCTTCACAGATAAGTCGATATTCTTCACAAACTGTTTTGCATAACAGTGATATTTTTGCTGGAACAATATGCTACATAAAAATGATTTTTCAGACTCTTCAGAAAGAGGCTCCAACTGAAGTTATTTAAAAATCTTTATTTCAAAAAGTCCAGCGTACAGTTTGGGGGAAAAATGCTAGTTATGTCTGAAAACACCTATTTGGGGGGACATTTTTAATCACTTATTCCCATTATTATGGAGCTCTTTGGAGTTGAGGAACAGAAAGGTGGGAATTTCTTGGCTCCAATGCACTCCATGAATCAGAATAACTGATTGAACTGATAGCAGAAGATGGAGAATAATTTGTAGAAAAGGGGATGGGGTATAAACTCTAACTGTGACCTTCAAAAGTGTACGAGTTCAGTGAAATTAAACACATTAGAAGTTTGAATACTTATCCGAACAGATGTCTGTGGTGTCTGCCAGACTAGATCAAAGTCACCTTTCTGGTCCCCTGATTATAGGCTGACTAAGGGTCAAAAGAGCTCCCAGTGTGAGTTAAATTATCGGAGAGACTTGAGACATTTGTGGCACAGACCGAAAAAAATCTCATACTGCCTACCTAAGGTTCAAGATTGAATTAAATAGTTTCAATGTACTGTCCACTTTACCAAACTATTAGAAGAATTACTGTGTGAGCAATTTGACTCTACATTATCTATGCAAAGAGTGTCTCAGTTGTCTCTGTCTCACACTGGCCTGAAACTATTATTATTAATATTGTTTGTGTTACAATAAGACATACTGGCTTGGAACAGCTTGGGACCCCTCTGTGTGAGCTGCTATACAGAACTATATAGTATGACAAGAGGATCTGAAGAACTTTGTTAACTAATTTTAATTTTCTCAATGACTATTACAGAATTTCAAAGCTCTTTTTTAAAAAAGCAAGCATATTTGTTTTTCTCAGGACTGATGGGTATTAACTTTCCTGGATGTGGCTTGAGAGAAACCAGTCAATAGATTATAAAAGATTAAAATCTGTCAAAGATGGATGTATGCAGATAGGAAGACAAATTGTTATTTTTTAAAAATAAAATCTAAGAAAATTGTACATTACCTATAAAACCAAGATATGCATTTTCGTAGATTATGAAAAGGCTTGAAGATTTTTTGTAACCCTCAAAACTAGCCAATCACTTACTATCAGGGAATCAAATGATTTTGTGTGTCAAAAAATTCTTATTTTCCTGCTTTCTTAATTAACTGGCAAAGTGTACAGTCTTCCTATGGTACTCTGAATATCTCTGGATAGACTCTATACTCTGTGCTTGAACCCCATGTGCTCTACTGGCAGCACAATAGCTGTCTCTTTGATTGATTGATCAATTATTGTAATGAGTTAACAGATATGTATTTAGGGTTTTTGTCCCTTTCCAGGTGATTTATTAGAACAGTATTAACACTGGCCTTATAAAGTGAGTCTCTTTTTTAGTAGAATGCACTTTTAAAAAAGTTGTATTTTTAAAAAATGGGTAGAAAAGAGAGCAAAAGAGCGCATGCATCCACACAACCTCTGCAACAAAAGGCAGAAAGAGAGAAACAGTCACAGGTAGAAAAGGAAGAGGGCTGAGGGACAGCAGACACTGGAGCATGAACAGTCATCCTGATGAAGGATGAAAAAGAAAGGGATTAGGAGCTGGCCTCGAATTAGGAGAAGATGGGGAGCTGGTCCAAGCAAATCTATGGCTCCATTTAACTACCCAGGTAGGACCTGATCCTGCCAAGTGCAAAGTACCTTCAAGTTGGGGGCACTCAGCACATTGCAGGATCAAGCCCTTGTGCACTAGAGGCCCCCACCTATACCTCTTCTGCTGTTGTGGGAGGGGCAATGTTTGGGGGGCATGTAAGTGGGAGATACATTTTGGACTCCAAGACTGTCTGAAATGTCAACCAGGGAAGAATATGCTTCTCTTATTTAAGGTAGGAGGGTGGGGAATACTTTGAGCTGGGTGGAGCTAAGGCTTCACTCTTGGGAAGTGCCCCACATAGAACAGGAGGTAGCCTCCCTGTTTGGGCAACCTGTGGGAGAAAGCGAGGTGAGTTGAGGCTGCAGTAAGCCCCAGGAAAGATCTTGTTTGTATTACAAAGGTTAGCCCTGGATGCCCAGGTGCCTTGTATTTTTAAGCACCAGGTTCTGAAACTCTCCAATCTCAATGAACAGTCAAGTCAGTGGGGCTACTAGTAAGGTGCTACTGGACAAGAGTAAAGGCATCTGAATCTACCCCAAATGATCAGAGACTGTAGCAGAGCTAATTTCTTGTCTACTAAGATCAGCTTCCAAACAGTTTTAATTAGATCCATTTAATTTTCTAAATTTGCCTATTTCCCCAGTGTCTCTGGTCCCTTTTTGGAATATTTGTGTGTATACATTTTAAAATAATTCTGACATAGTTTATTCATTTCAGGTGGTGTTTCTAGTAATTTTGCTGTGTGCTCTTAAATTGTCTCCTTTCCTCCTCTTTAGCCTGCCAGATCCAGAAATTATGCTAATTATTCCCCTCCTATATTTCTGAAGCATCATGTTTCCAGACCTCTGTTTCCAGTTTTGTAACTATAGCATCAAACTAATTTTTATGGATTTTAATAAGTTCAGTCTCTCCAGAACTCCTAAATTTGAATATTCAAACTCCATCTGTTTAATATTTTTTTCCTTTTAACTTATCAAATGCATTTTTAACTGTTTTCTTAGTATTAGAAGAATAAAGCCATAAATAAATGCCCTAAGGGTGTCCCTTGCTGAAAGGGAGGGAAGGGGAGGAGCTCCTAAAACCACTGTTCATGAGAAGTCCTCTTAACAGTGTTGCTAAGTAATAAAGTTCTTAAAGGCCATATTGGGAAGTAACCTGTTGTAAATCTATAATTCAGACAGTACTTTTTATTAAGTATTGAGCAGGTATGTTGTATATTAATCATGACATGCACTGGCTTCATTTAACATGGAATTTTTTCCTCTCCTTTAAATATTTAATATTGAAAGATGCTGGAGACCAAAATCCTTCAGGTAGCTCGAGAATAGGTACAACATGAGCATCTGCAATACAAGTTTGCCCACATTGCTCAGCTAACATGCTTTACCTCTGGCCTGGGAGGAGTTAATGGGTTCATTCCTGTAAGATGCTGAGCACCTTCAACTCCCACTGAAACTGAGTTGGCTGAATGCCTTGCAGGATTGATCCCTGTATACCCATTCAGTTCTTAGCCTCTGTGAGGGGGTTGCACAAGAATGCCAATTAGTGCTGGCTGCGATTGTGTTTTGTGCAGTGGACACCTGTTCCTGTGACCTGGATTAAGATGGCCAAATCAATTTTATGTTTCTGTGGCATAGCAATAAGGGATAAAGCATTGTCTACTCAGCAGAAAAAGAAACAAACTTAAAGAAGTCATAAGAGCAAAACCATTTCCCCACATTTTAATCTGGCACCACATATGCCTGAGTATTGTAGGTGATTAAGGAGCTACATATAAA